GCCGAGATGACACGAGTTTGGCAGGGGAGCCGAGATGACACGAGTTTGTCAGTTGATCCCGGATGACACGAGTTTGGCAGTTGAGCCGAGATGACGCGAGTTTCGCAGTTGAGCCGAGATGACACGAGTTTGGCAGTTGAGCCGAGATGACACGAGTTTGGCAGTCGAGCCGAGATGACACGAGATTGGCCGTTGAGCCGAGATGACACGAGTTTGGCAGTTGAGCCGAGATGACGCGTGTTTGGCAGGTGAGCCGAGATGACACGAGTTTTGGCAGTCGAGTCGAGATGACACGAGGTTGGCGTTAGAGCCGAGATGATACGAAGCCGGCGGCTGGACCGGGATGACACAGGGTGGCGTAGGAGCCGAATTACACGAAGCTGGCACACCAGACCAGGCTGACACGAGGGTGGCGTAGGAGCCGAATTACACGAAGCTGGCACACCAGACCAGGCTGACACGAGGGTGGCGTAGGAGCCGAAGTACACGAAGCTGGCACACCAGACCAGGCTAACACGAGGGTGGCGTAGGAGCCGGATTACACGAAGCTGGCACACCAGACCAGGCTGACACGAGGGTGACGTAGGAGCCGGATTACACGAAACTGTCACGCTTTGCCGGGCTGACACGAGGGCAGTGTTTGAGCGGAAGACTACTACTAGTAACAGGAAACCTGCTCGCTGGGCCGGGCTGACACGAGAGTAGCCTTTGAGGTGAATACAAGTAACACGAAGCCTGCACACTGCTGGAAAGGGCTGACGTATGAGCCGAATAACACGTAGCCGGAACACGGGGCCGGGTTGACACGAGGGCGGCGTTCGAAGCGAATAACACACAGCTGGCACGCCGGACCAGGATGACACGAGTGTGGCGTTGGAGCCGAGTGGTTAATCCATCTGAGGCAGGTTAACATGAAGTCGGCACGCCGGGCTGACGTAAGCGTTGCGTTGGAGCCGGAATGACACAAGCCGGCGGCTGGGCCGGGCTGGCACGAGTTCAGGGTCAGAGCCGGAGGAACGCGAAAGTCACTTGATTGGACAGAAAACGCATCAAAATAAGTTCAGCTTCACTCAGGCCTGGAGCGCAGTCGCGGAAGTACGTCCTGTACGGGAGGCCAGCTATAGCCAGGCGTCTTATTAGAGCCGGATATGAGGTCGAAGGAAGTGAGAGTTTGTGATTAAACTAGGCTATGTCGGGTCTGATCAAACCGAGAGCCTGATGTGCCAACGTCCTTTGATATGGGTTATGCCAAGGAATATTTTTTAACCTCCTAGAGTAAACCGATGCAGTGGCAAGCCGTATGTCCGTTACTGACCTGTGTTTCCAATACTGCGTGAACGGTTGGATGTGAACAAGTCCGAACTCACAGATAACGTAAACACGCGGCATGAGGCGTCAAGCCGAGCGGCCGTTGCCAGGGCGACCGCCCGTCTGGCTGCCTTGCTCTGAAGCGGAACGCTAACGAGGAACAGGGCTACAACAGTACAAGCTGACCACGCTCTCCGCGCGTGATCGAACCGGGACGCGTGGGGGGTCCGCCGGCGTAGTGCAACATCTGGTACCCAGCTGGGGAGTGGGATTTGTAGCAGAGTGCACCAAACTTGATCGAACTATTAGAACCTATTTATTTCGTGTGGCATAATCCGTTGCGACGTCGCCGACTTGCAATTCACCAGTAATCGTGTCCACATAGAGACGAAGTCGAAATATAACGGTCACGGTCGGCGCGGTGAAGCCATAGTCTATAGAGTTACAGATCGTGCGAAATGAAGTGTTAAACGAATCTGTACTCACGGTGCCTGCGCGTCAAAATAACTGGGGCGAGCCCGAAGCGAAATTTACTCACTGTCCGGATCGCTCTCTGTGTCGCCGGTAGAAAGCTGAGGCAGGCTTGTCGCATGAGCTATCCGCCACGTGAAGACCTGAAAATTTGGCGGGGCCCTGCAGGCGTTCTGGCCGGAGCCTGGCGGGCCGTGACGCGGGGCGAACTCCCTTCTCGAGGCGGGGAATCCAGTCCTCCACGCGGTGGGAAAGAGGCTCCATCAGAAGGACTGCATGGTAGAACTAATCAGATCGTAGGAATCACGGACTGGACGACAGTAGCGCGGTAGAAAGCTCAGAAAATTCGGATGAACTCAAGTGCGTGAGCTCCCACCGCCCGCTACGCTACATGTGATGACAATAGACAGAAGATGACCTCTGGGTCAAGTGAGGTCAGGGTTCGTATTCTATGCATCTAATTAATTTCTTTGATCTGTCGCCCAAAGAACTACTAATTCCATATACAAGTACTGTATCTGTATACCGATACAGATACAATACTAGTATATGAAATTATCATTAAGCAAGAAAACCTGGTAATGTACCAATTACTGCTAATGTATCTTCTTTGTTGATTCATATTGCATAGATGGTAGTCAATAAAACAAGCTTTCAGGACACTGTTCATCATGGTACCATGCAATGTTTTATTTTCGTTTCAATCATCATTACATTACTCTTGCAGTTTGAGTCTTTTTGCACAAAGTTTTCAGTTGATTTCATTCATGTATTCAAAGGCTTTGAAGTATATATAATAAAGGGAAAAGAACGTCTACCTTTTTTAATTTGATACATCTTTCCTGGTAAAATTTTGTCAATGATCATAATTGTAAAAATGACAAACTTGCCAACTATACTTACGTACTTCATACCTTGTACATTATACCCCCTTTCACAAGAGGCAGAGCGGCCATATTTGACAGATCACTGAGTGAATTTCATGAACAAAGAAGATTTTTACATTTTTGGTGCTTATTGTCTTTTTAAAATACTTTCGCATTCCAAAGAAAATCAAGGGCCATATAGTGATATAACATTAGATTTCATTTTGGTCCCTCGGCGATGGCTGTTTTGTAAAAAGGTGGCCTCAGTTGTGGACTCCAATCAGTCTTTCATGTACCATGATAAATATTCAAAACATACCACAGAACGCACATTATGGAATTACATAATAGACCAATGGCACTACATGAAGAAAACAATGCTGTTACTTCTGCTTCTAGAACTCATATTAAGTCCCTTTGTTTGTTTCATTATCATTATTATCATTGTCTTAGAACTCAACTTAGGGCCATTTCGTCTATGTTGTTTCTTGAACGATTTTAGGAGTTCTGTCTAAAACTGCTTGTGGCTTGTGAAAGAACATCAAAATAAAACCACATGATAATAAGATACATACATGTGTAAATAACTTTAAAAACTTGTAACATGCAAAGTTGTCATGAAAAGAGAAACATACCAGAAAAGGTAACATTTGCAAAGAAAATGAAGAATGACAAATGGCATTGCCCAACAAACTACTACTTTGTTTGTTCTTACTCAATCACATTCAAATATATGGTGGTCTGCCACTTGCTACATTATGTAATCCAACATCACTGGCACTGCATGTCTGCTACAGATCTAGTGACCATGGTGACAGACCTTTGGTCCGGGTCATTGACCCTCTATGTTTGGAACGTAAGAAGAAGACACAGAACAAAACAATATGTTTCCTTCTGCGAAGGTGAAGATAATATATTATTAAGTATTATGTGGCTCATTGTTCACTAGAAGCATTATTATGTCTTGAGTTCTATACAGCTACATGTATAATGGTTAGAGACTAGACATGTACCACAGGTACTAAAAGTGTGGAGATAGACTCCCGAAAACTTTGGTCCGTGCACGATCTTACATTGGTGCATCCATCTCAATTACAAAAGACAATTTCTTTTAGCAGACCTACAGTACTGCTTAGTACAACTACTTGAACTGTTACAGAAATCTGATTTGCTACTGTAATCATGTTCATTAGATCTGCTGTATGTGAGATATTCACAAAATATGCAACTCAAATCAGTACCATTATGATAGTACTTACCAGTAGAGCAACTACAGTAGCAAGCTTAAGGCTGCCATAATGAGCAATAAGAAATCAGTTACATTGTATATCATGATTATATCATTGTATATCATGACTAAAATATATAAATATTACATGCAGAAGGTGATAAAATCATTTATGATAATAAATAAAATAAATCTCACAAGACAGCTAAAATATAGAGTATTTTACAGGAGTGGATCAAACGTCCCTTAAAAACTTCCAGGCCTACTTTTTTTTTGTCTTTCTGCATTACATGGATATATTACATCTAGTACTAGTTATATTTTAGGGACTACGTCGGTTTCAAACTTCACATGATTATTCACACAAGACAGCTAAAATATAGAGTATTTACTGGAGTGGATCAAAACTACTACATGTACCTCTAAAAACCTTTGTTTTTTTTTAAATAATTCTGGTTGTTTTAGTGTAATTAAGTACATGTAAATCAGTGTATAATTCAGTCCTCAGACTGTGAAATGCTTCTGGTTTTTCTTACTACAAGTAAACCATTCATTCATTCATTCATTCTTTCATCCATTCAAAACTTCAAGGCCTACATGTACTTGTTTGTCACTCCTACATTATACTTCATTATCGCCTACTAGTTACATTGTAAAGGGCCTAAGTTGGTTACCAAGCTCACATTGTTACTCAAAAATCAATGTATAGACTTTCATGATTTTGTGGATGACAGATCCCCTCCCAAGAAGATTGATAAATTATTATGATATCAATGTACCAATGGATTCAAGTGTTGCAGAATACTGTTGCCAATGAGATATGGTCCAAATCTATAATCTCTTTTGGGTTGTGAAAAATGGTTAAACAATGTTATTCATTCTCAAGCGATTATGTTTTCTGATAGGCCTTTTTCAATGTTTCAAGCGCACGTGTTCTGTTCAGGAAGCAATGCCACTTTCGCACCCCCATCAAGAAAGGTTTTTAGGAAAAGTGGTAAGGTATCAGCTTTTCATGAATTTTAGGCAAAAATTAATGAGCCTTTGAAATTAAGTCTGTCACAATACTTCGTGAATCGTAATGAAAATTCCATTCTTTAACACTGGGCTTTTGGGTTATTGGGCACTACCAGTATGTAACCAGAAGCATCAGTGGGTAAATTTTGTTCTTTTTTCAGAGGTTGGTAGTAGTGCCGGTTGTCATCCTCGCAATGACTGTTTGCCGGCATTTCATACAGGACGTCTTCTGGAGTCATATAGTGGGCACCGTCTGGCTCCACATAAGTGGGCTCATCATCATCACGGAGAGGGGGGAGGCCTTTAGGTGTCTTGGGGTTTGGTGGCCCTCTAACCCGCGATGGATGTTTGATATTCAAGGGTTGAGTGGACGCCAAAGACTGGCCCTGCCCTGTCTGATCATGAAGGGAACCACTAGTCGGTACAGTAGCTGTGGTGTTGATGTTACTCAACGCTATGTTAGAAGTTGGGCCAGAGGGAGGATTCTTGGTGTTCCGTTTGCACCAGATTGTGATGAGGACGGCGGCAACAATAGAGAGGGCCGCTGCACCACAGACAGAGCCGATGAGAACAGGTAGGGAGAAACTGGGAGAAGATTCGTGGGAACCGTAACGGGTGATTTCAGGTTTGTTAGCAGGGAACAGAATAGAAGAAGTGCCGGTGGTGGGAAACGGGAAAGCCATTGTAGCGGCTGTTTTGACTTTCTGCGGAGTAGCGGACGGAAATGGAGGGAACGTAGAACCAAGAGGTTTTTCTCTTGGACCAGGAGGGCTTTCTGTGTCGCCAAATGAAGACACTGACACTGCAGATGATATAAACGGGGCTTGGGTCTGTATGGGCAGTGTGGAACCTACAGCATGTGCTGTGGGACCTGGGTTGGTTTCTGTTTTGCGAAATGAAGAAGATTTTGACATTGCAGTTGAAGCAAACGTGTTCTGGGCATCAACATGTGGTGTTGATGTCGTTGGACCTTCACACATCAATTCTTCAGGATTGATATCTTTAAGCTTCTGTCCTTGGAATTTGGCGGGTTTGGCACAAATTATCTGGTCGTTAAATGCATGAATTAGCCTGAAGGGAGCCATGTGACAGTCACACTGCCAGGGGTTCCCGCCAAGTTTTACGGTAGGAACAGAGGTTAACAGGCCATAACCGAATGGGGGAATGAAGGACATCTTGTTGAACCGAAGGTCCAAATCTCGGAGTTTGGGCATATTTGCAAATGCATGAGACTCAATCATTGTTATCTGGTTGTGGGACAGGAACAACCTTTGTAGCTCTGGCAGATTTTTAAATGAACCAGCCTGAATCATTTTTATCTGGTTGCGGGACAGGTACAACTGCTGTAGCCGTGGTAGATTTACAAATGTACCTGACTGAATCTTTGTTAGCTGGTTGTTGTTCAGGTACAACCTTTGTAGCAGGGGCAGATTTTCAAAAGTACCAGCCTGAATCATTGTTATATTGTTGTAGGACAGGGACAAGGCTTGTAGCTGTGGCAGATTTGCAAATGTACCAGTCTGAATCATTATTAGCTGGTTGTTCGACAGGTACAACTCTTGTAGCCCTGGTAGATTTGCAAATGAACCAGCCTGAATCATTTTTATCTGGTTGCGGGACAGGTACAACTGTTGTAGCCGTGCCAGATTTACAAATGTACCTGACTGAATCTTTGTTAGCTGGTTTTGCTGCAGGTCTAACTTTTGTAGCCCTGGCAGATTTACAAATGAACCAGGCTGAATCGTTGTTATCTGATTGGAGTACAGGTACAACTTTTGTATCTCTGGCAGATTTGCAAATGTACCAGGCTGAATTGTTGTTATCCGGTTTTGGAATAGAGACAACTCTTGGAGCCGTGGCAGATTTTCAAATTTTCCAACCTGAACCGTTGTTATCCGGTTCTTTCCAAGATTCAGAATTTTTAGCTCTAGTAGATTGTCAAATGCACCAGGCTGAATCATTCTAATCTGGTTTTTGTACAGGATCAACTGTAGTAGCCTGGGTAGATTTGCAAATGAACCAGGCTGAATCGTTGTTATCCTGTTGAAAGCCAAGTCAACTTTTATCACATTCCTATACCTCAACAGGTCGGACTGGCTAACAGTTGTAATTATACTATATGCCAAATCCAAGTCAGATATAGTTTTTGGCAGGTCCTGAGGGATGCTGGTGAGGCGCATTCCACTGCAGCTGCAGGAATGGGGTTTGCACTTATTCCTGCAGGCAGCTTCTGGCATGCTGGGCTCCTTCAGGATGATGAGAAGGAAAACCAGCACGTGTCTCAGCTTTCTTCCCATGTTGTCCTGCCAACCAAAAAAAAGCGAGAAGCCCCTCTATCATTACTTCAAACGTTCATCTGTGTTGGTAGATACATGTTCAGAGTTAAAACTTTGTCCAAACGTTTCAAACTTCAGACAAGCCACTTGACAAATCTCACAAGTCCTACCGGGTCAGTCTATTGAAGAAGATCGAAGTGACTGGTCCAAAGTTTTGGGTGAGAACAATCCCTTTGTGTTGGAACAGAAGATTTAACTTGAAACAAAAAGCCTTTAGACGACCGTCTCTTAAGTTAAAATTCCAATATGTAACACATTCTCAATTCGTTGAACTTGCAGAATACCGTTTGGTTCTATTTCTAACCATATATATATATATATATATATATTACAAAAAGGCATGTGGTAAGACCAATAGCCCAGTAGCCTCACTCCATTTGCAGTATACATGCAGTGAAAATAATCTGTGACCAATAGTGAAACGCAACAGTACGAGTTGCAGTGAGAGGTAACAACAGAACAGTTTGAATACATGGAACGTGTTATGTACAGTTAAAGTAGCCAGAGGTCTGCGTTAGCAAAAGCTTCACAGGTGTTAACAAGAGCTGTGTTGATTGTCTGAAGCTGCCGTTTGAAGTTTGCCGTTTGAATATTAAGAAGAAGGTTGTTTACTTGTTTTTCTTTCCACTGACATTTTCATGACACTGTTTGGACCTTTTAAACATAAGGATTTTAAAACAAGGCCACAATTATTTGACTTAGTGGTTCTCGTTTCTTTTTTGCAGGATGATATCGGAGCGCTAAAAATATAAGTAGCACTAAAAGAAAAGCCGACATTCTGTGATAGAAACCAAATTCCGCCACAGGAGCCAAAACGTCAACACACTAGGCTGGCTGGTTCAAACAACGAATTTTAGCACCCGACTTGTGCAAAATGTACACAAGGTGTGAAACTGTAGATTTTCCGCATTTGCATATCAATTCAGATACTTATTTATACTCAGGTTAGTCAATATTCTCATCCCCAGTCACTCCATGCTACCTTAAACGTCTGAATTTTCATAGAATTTCATAGAATTCAACATTCAGTTACTTGATTTATTTTGAAGTACATAATGTTCTACCTGAATGTCGAACTTTCAGTGACTTTTAATTAACACAAGATTTGACTTACCTTAATCACAACTTACCTTCCAAGCTGGTCAAAATATCTTCAGTTCACACTTTCTGGACTAAAAAGGCCAGAAGAGCGGTCCTCAGCCGTCTTGTTGCAGTTGTGCCTCTCAGAGCCGAGCTCTGTGTGGCTGTTGCGCAACGGGGTGTGGCAAACAACGCCTGATTAGTCTGACTTATATGGGCGGGTTGGTTAGCTGATTCTGACGTCACGTACGCGCGTGCTCGAAAGAACACTTTTCAAAGCGCCATCTGTCGAGAAACGGACCAACTGCCGCGCATCACTCGTAGAGTTCTTTTAGTTAGCTATCAATATCCTGTACAACTTCCCTTTTTGGCAGAACAGCAAAAACCGAAAAATTAAAGTATTCCATCTTTATACTTACAGAGCCCATTTCTGTCCAAAGAAAGATTTTAGATCTAGAAGGACGAAACCTTACACTCATTCGGAGGGGACATGAGCACGTTAAAAACCCAGCACATTAATAAAGAAAATGGTAGAGGTCCGTCCCAAGGAAAGTGAAAAAGCCTGGTCTTACACAACTTGTACTAACTGCTTTGTTACAGCTGAATAATTATAACATTTATGGATGTAGGCAGAGGCCTGCGTCAGCAAAAGCTGGACAGGGGTTGATTGTCTGAAGCTGCTGTTTGAAGTTGGCTGTTTAATATTAACACGGAGGTTGTTTACTTGTTTTTCTTTTCACTGATATTTTTACGGCGTTTTAGCAAAAGTATCTCAAGATTAGTCTTCATATAGTTTGATTTCGTATTTCCCAGCCTTTTTACAGGGTGATGGTTGAGCGGGCGAGTAAAATAAAACAAAGCAGGCATTCTTTTGTAGAACATTTACATATCAATTCAGATACGCATTAATACACAAGTTACACTTCTATTCACATTCTCAGTGACTGTATACTTTTTGAAGCCTCCAAATTTTTATAAGATTTAAAATCTGATTGTTTTCTTTATTTATTTGATTGATTTTGTATTACATAATGTTTTACCTGGATGTCGAACCTTCAACGTCCTGCAATGACCAAGGGGTGATTTGACTTAAGACAACACATTAACGTTTATCACAACTTACCTTCCAAGCTGGTCAGGATATCTTCAGTTGACACTCTCTATCTGGCCTAAGAAAGCCAGAAGAGCGGCCCTCAGCCGTCTTGTTGCAGTTGTGCCTCTAAGAGCCGAGCTCTGTGTGGCTGTTGCGCAACGGGGTGTGACAAACAACGCCTGATTAGTCTGACTTATATGGGTGTGTTCATTGTAACGTCACTTAGGCGTGTGACGCGCGTGCTCGAAAGAACACTTTTCAAAGCGCCACCTGTCGAGACATGGACCAACTGCCCCGCGACACTTTGGAGATGCAAGCGAAAAGAAAGCCAGTGGTAACTACGGAGAATGATACTTAGGCTAAAATCTTTTTCCTTAGCTTTCAATATTCTGTTTTTTTGCAGAACAGTGAAAACTTAAAACATTAAAGTAGCAGATATTGATACGTTACGAGCTCCTTTCTAAGAAAGATTCCATATCTAGATCATCAAAGAATACAAAATTACAGTTCTGGTTTACTGTACAAAACTGATGAGTTACAACTGAAGGTGGTTTACTGGTAATGTAGCTTCTTTCTTAAATTGATTCATATATTGCATAGAAGGTACTCATTAAAACAAGCTTTCAGACAAGTTTTTATCACATGTAATATGCTTTATTTAAATCATCATCACATCACGCAGTTTGGAGTGTTGGTACAAAGGTTTCCGTTGATTTCACGCATAAATTTAAAGGATTTTGAAGTATGATAAAGGAACACAAAATTTCTATTATTCTTTTAACGTTCCTGGTTAAATATCGCCAGTGATCATTGTAAAACTTTCCAACTATATTTACCTCATACTTTGTACATTACACCCCCTTTCACAAGAGGCAGAGCGGCCATATTTGACAGATCGCTGAGTGAATTTCATAGACAAAGAAGACATTTACTTGAAAATACTGCTACATGTAAAGTTGCCAAATGAAAAGAGCAACATACTACAAAGGCAACATTTGCAAAGCAAATGCATAATGTTAACGTATAACCTTCACATGGCATTGCCCAGCAAACTACTCTGTTTGTTCCTACTCCATCACATTTATATATGTGGTAGTCATCCACTTTCTACATTAAGTAATCCAACATCACTGGGTGTCTGCTACAGACCCAGTTGCCATGGTAACAGACGTCTAGTCCAGGTCATTGACCTTCTATGTTTGGGTCGAATTATTAATCATTATTTGGCTAAAAGTTCACTGAAAGCATTACAAATTCGACTGCTATAATGGTTAGAGACTAGGTATGTACCACAGGTACGAAAACTGTGGAGATAGACTCCTGAACAATTTGTTCCTTGCACGATCTTACATTGGTACATCGATCTCAATGTGTGATTTGCTACTGTAATCATGTTCATTAGATCTGCTGTATGTACAGCAAATATTAGCCACGCCACATAATGAACAATAAAGAACCAGTTACATTGTGCATCATGCTTATATCAATAATACATTCAAAAGATGATAAATAATTCTTTAAGTGATAAAGAAAATGACATAAGACACCTAAGATATGTATTGATTACAGGAGTTACCTTAAATAACTTCCAGACCTACTTTTTGTCTTCTCTACATTTTATATTACACCTACTAGTTATATTGCTTACCACGTTGCCTACGTTGCTTACCAAGTTGTTACTCAATAATAAATGTATACACTTTAATGATTTTGTGGATGACAGACAACTTCATCCCCCCCCAAGAAGAAATTGACTCACGGACGATGATATAATTATCATATCAATGTACCAGAATACTGCTGCCAATTAGACATCTATAACCTCCTGGTCCGGGCAACAGTGGTTAAATAAATAATATTTTATACGCTGCCTGTGGTCTCAGACCATTATGTGTTCTGCTTGGCCCTTTTCAATGCTTCAATGCTCAGTAAGCAATTCCACTTTGTTACCCCCACGAAGAAAGGTTTTTAGGAAAAGTGGTTAGGTATCAGCTTTCGTGTAATTTCAGGCAAAAATTAATAAGTCTTTGAAATCAAGTCTGTCACAATATTTCGTGAATCGTAATGAAAATTCCATTCTTTAACACTGGCCGTTTGGGTTATTGGGTACTACCAGTATGTAGCCAGAGGCATCAGTGGGTAAATTTTGTTCTTTTTTCAGAGGTTGGTAGTAGTGCCGGTTGTCATCCTCGCAATAACTGTTGGCCGGCATCTCATACAGTACGTCTTTTGGCGTCATATAGTGGGCACCGTCTGGCTCCACATAAGTGGGCTCATCATCATCACTGGGAGGGGGGCCATCTCTATGGGGAGCAAGGGACCCTGTAACTGCACCTGTAGTTTTCTTAGGGTTTGGTGGTGTGCCTGCGTCTTCATAGTAATCAGTCTGCGAGACAGCCGGCCCTCTAACGTGCGATGGATGTTTGATATTCGAGGGTTGAGTGGACGCCAAAGACTGGCCCTGCCCTGTCTGATCATGAAGGGAACCACTAGTCGGTACAGTAGCTGTGGTGTTGATGTTACTCAACGCTATGTTAGAAGTTGGGCCAGAGGGAGGGTTCTTGGTGTTCCGTTTGCACCAGATTGTGATGAGGACGGTGGCAACAATAGAGAGGGCCGATGCACCACAGACAGAGCCGATGAGAGCAGGAATGGAAACACTGGGAGAAGATTCGTGGGAACCGTAACGGGTGATTTCTGGTTTGTTAGCAGTTGAAACAAACGTGTTCTGTGCATCAACACTTGGTGTTAATGTCGTTGGGCCCTCACATATCAATTCTTCAGGATTAATATCTTTAAGCTTCTGTCCTTGGAATTTGGCGGGTTGGGCACAAATTATCTGGTCTTTAAATTTCCTCTCCAGCCTAAAGGGAGCCATTCTGCAGTCACACTGCCAGGGGTTATCTTCAAGTCTTACGTTAGGAACATTTTCAAATGTATCCAGCTGAATCATTTTTATCTGGTTTGACTTCAGGGACAACTCTTGTAGCCGTGACAGATTTTCAAATGTACCAGACTGAATCATTGTTAGCTGGTTGCAGTACAGGTACAACTTTTGTAGCTGGGGCAGATTTACAAGTGCATCAGCCCGAATCGTTGTTATCAGGTTGTAGCTCAAGTACAACTTTTGTAGCTGAGTCAGATTTGCAAAAGTACCAGACTGAATCATTGTTATATTGTTCCAGGACAGGGACAAGTCTTGTAGCCCTGGTAGATTTTCAAATGTACCAGTCCGAATCATTGTTAGCTGGTTGTGGTACAGGTACAACTTTTTTAGCTGGGGCAGATTCACAAGTGCGCCAGGCTGAATCATTGTTATCTGGTTACCGCTAAGGTACAACGTTTGTAGCAGCGGTAGATTTGCAAGTGTACCAGACTCAATCTTTGTAATCTGGTTGTAGGACAGGTCCAACCATTGTAGCCGTGGCAGATTTACAAATGCACCAGGCTGAATCATTGTTATCTGGTTGGAGCGCAGAGACAGCTTTTGTAGCGCTGGTAGATTCACCAATGTACCAGACTCAATCTTTGTAATCTGGTTTTCGGACAGGTACAACTCTTGTAGCCCTGGCAGTTTTTCAAATGTACCTGTATGAATATTTGTTATCTGGCTGTAAGACAAGGTAACCTTTATCACATCCCTATACCTCACCAGATCGGGCTGGCTTACAGTTGTAATTCTGTTATATATCAAATACAAGTCAGATATAGTTTTGGGCAGGTCCTGAGGGATGCTGGTGAGGCCCATTGCCCTGCATCTGCAGGAATGGGGCTCGCACTTACTCCTGCAGGCAGCTTCTGGCATGCTGGGCTCCTTCAGGATGATGAGAAGGAAAACCAGCACGTGTCTCAGCTTTCTTCCCATGTTGTCCTGCCAACCAAAAAAAGCGAGAAGCCCCTTTATCATTAAAGTTCACACGTCCATCGGTGTTGGTAGCTACAATGTGTAAAGTTAAAAAATTCTTCAAACTCTTCACACTTCAGACAAGCCCCGTCAAGGTGTTACTACAGAAGGCACCTGGTAAGACCCAATAGCGTGACATACATGACTTGTACTACGAGTATATGGTGACAGGAGTAGAGAAGACCATGAAATTGCAACATTATGTAACCCAACACCAGTCACCATGGTGACAGACGTCAACGAATCATGTCATGGGCCAGGTAAGAGGTTAGTGTTTGGAACAGAAGAGGAGGAAGAAACTGAGTAGAAACAATATGTTTTCCTTCGGTAAACATAAAAATACGTGGAGCGTGGTATGTACAGATAACGTCTGTAGCCAGAGGTCTGCGTCAGCAAAAGCGTGTGAGTTGAGTTGATTGTCTGGAGATGCCGTTTGAAGTTTGCTGTTTGAATATTAACACGGAGGTTGTTTACTTGTTTTTCTTTTCACTGATATTTTCATGACGCCTTTTGGGCCTTTAAGATATAAGGATCTCAAGACAAGGCCACAATAATTTAATTCAGTGGTTCCAATACTGTTGAAGAATATCATAGTGCACGAGAAAAGTCACTAAAAGAGAAGCAGGCATTCTGTGATAGAACAGCCAAATTCCGCCACAGGAGCCATAACGTAAACACACTAGGCTGGCTGGTGTTTCAAACAACGAATTTTAGCACCCACCTTATGCTGACTGTATTCCTGACGAACTAGATTTGCTGTATATGATTTATCTAGTGTGGCTTGGTATATTATTGTGCAACACCGGGGCTTGACAGGTGTTCATCTGGCTAATTTGAGAGTATTTCATGGATTTGAGACTTAATTTGAGAATACTTCATTTTTCACAACTACATATTTTCTTACCAATTTTTTTCAGCTTTTAGTGTCCTTTATTAGGGCAAAATGTAGATGCAGACAAGGGGCACATGTGTAACTGTATCTACTTGATTTTCCGCATTTGCATATCAATTCAGATACTTATTTATACACAGGTTAGTTAATCTTCTCATTCCCAGCCACTCCATGCTATTTGAAATGTCTGAATTTTCATAAAATGTCATAGAATTTAACATTCAGATTTATTTTGTAGTACATAATGTTCTACCTGGATACCTTACATTCGGTGACTTGTAATGAACACAAGATTTGACTTACCTTAATCACAACTTACCTTCCAAGCTGGTCAGGATATCTTCAGTTGGCACTCTCTTTCTGGACCAAGAAGGCCTGAAGAGCGGTCCTCAGTCGTTTTGTTGCAGTTGTACCTCTCAGAGCCGAGCTCTGCGTGGCTGTTGCGCAACGGAGTGTGACAAACAACGCCTGATTAGTCTGACTTATTCTGACGTCACGTAGGCGTGTGACCCGCGTGCTCGAAAGAACACTTTTCAAAGCGCCATCTGTCGAGAAATGGACCAACTGCCGCTCGTCACTTTGGAGAAGAAAGCGAAAAGCTAGCGGTAACTACGAAGAATGATACTAAGGATAGAGTTTTTTTTCATTAGCTTTCAATATTCTGTGCAACTTCACTTATTGACAGAACAGCGAAAACCGAATCATTAGTATTACATCTTAAAGAGCTCCTTTCTGTTTAAGAAATATTTTACATCTAGAAGGACGAAACCTTCTCTCATTCGGAGGGGATATGAGCACGTTAAAGAACCCAGCACACTAATAAGAAAAGAGTAGACGTCCGTCCCATGGAAAGTGGATAGCCTGGTCTTACGCAACTTGTTACTGCTTTGTTACAGCTTAATAATTATAACATTTATTGTAATGTAGGCAGAGGCCAGCGTTAGGAAAAGCTGGACAGGTGTTTACAAGAGCTGTGTTGATTGTCTGAAGCTGCTGTTTGAAGTTGGCTGTTTAATATTAACACGGAGGTTGTTTACTTGTTTTCCTTTTTGCTGACATTTTCTTGTTTTAGCAAAAGTATCTCAAGATTAGGCTACGATAGTTTGATTTCTTGTTTCTCGGACTTTTTACAGAATGATGTTTGAGCGGGCGAGTAAAATAAAACCGAACAGGCATTCTGTTGTATATACACAAGTTATACAAGTTACACTTCTATTCACATTCTCAGTCATCACTGGATGCTTTCTGAAGCCTCCAAATTTTTTTAAAATTTAAAATCCAGTTGCTTTATTTGTTTAATCTATTTTGTACATAATGTTTTACCTGGATGTCGAACCTTTAACGACTTACAATTACGACCACGAGGTGATTTGACTTAAGAAAACACCTTAACGTTTATCACAACTTACCTTCCAAGCTGGTCAGGATATCTTCAGTGGGCACTCTCTTTCTGGACTAAGAAGGCCTGAAGAGCGTCCTTCAGTCGTCTTGTTGCAGTTGTTTCTCTCAGCGCCGAGCTCTGTGTGGCTGTTGCGCAACGGAGTGTGACAAACAACGCCTGATTAGTCTGATGTATATGGGCGTGTCTCAATATGACGTTACGTGTGACATAAAGGAATGAGCATTTCAAAGCGCCACCTGTCGAGAATAAGACCAACTGCCGCTCGTCACTTTGGAGAAGCAAGTGAAAAGGTAGAGCCAGTGGTAACTACGGAGAATGATACTTTAGGATACATTCTTTTATTTTTCTATTTATTTTTGCCCCTTGTAAATCAGAAATTGATGTTGAAGAAGACAAACAAACAAACAAACCCTGCAACAAATGTATCAACAAAGTTTGCTAGTTTACCGCAGCTAGAAGGGCGTTTCGAGTTATTTCTTTTCTTTATTGGTCAAATAAGAGAACGTATATTGACAAGGAAAAATAATCATACAATTTCTACCATACTGCATCACATGGAAAATTAGAAGAAGCACTTAAAGTAATCCCGTCTATTGTTAACTGTGCTCTCAGTGTAGCCGCCCTCATAAATAATTCAAACCTCCTCCCTGAGTGCTAATCCGTAGTATTAGATTTAGAGTACTAGGGCTTTAGCTCTACGGAGAAAAAATATGGGAGAATTTTCAGCCAACAGCACCGATAAACATTAATAAGTTAATATTTTTCCCTTCATAAGTACTGTAGACACTATAGAAGTTGTGACTCGATTGTAGACACCAAGGAAGTTGCGAGAAAGGAAAACAGGAGGCGAAGAGGTAAACAAGCCCCGTTGCTAGGCGACTCCGTTGCTAGGTTACCAAGATTACCACGTCGCCTTTCTCCGTTTGCGTTTCAACACTTCACCCAGCAACAGTTGGGTCACTTTAATATTGTAACGGGGGGGAGGAAGAGGTGAAAATTATTTTACACCATGAAGATTAGCTCTATTGCGTTCATGCGTGACACAATGATTCGTTTCAATATATCTATTTTGTAGTAAACAGCATAAAGTTTCAGCAATGTCAGCAACTCTGTTCTGGTGTTTCATGAAAAATGTTCCTACCCATTGTTGTAATGGTTTCGCCATCGCTGCCTCATGTCCATATTAATACTAGTACCAATAGGATATCCAGTTATAAGACAAGCAGTCGGTGATATCTACGCTTATTGTCCTTTGTGAGAAAATCTACTCCGAAGGAAGCCGAGGAAAATGTCTGCAAGTCTGCGTCTACTCTGCAGCCTTGTGCTCATACTCTTCACCATCAGACATGGACATGGACAAGGTAAGACGATTTATAAAACAGATGAACATGCATCGCTACTCTGTTCGGGTAATTTGAAGTGCATCGCACAGTTAGTAGTTGGACCATCGCACACCGGGGCATGCCCCTACTCTTTTTTTGGTGTGGTGGGTTCTTTAATGTGCGTGGGGTGTTGCTCTCCCCAAACACGGGGCCTCTATTTAACGTCCTCTCCGAGGGACGTCCCTAACCGAAGCTATAGGTGCTCATTTTTACCTGAGTAAAGTGAGGAAAGTTGACTATAAATGTGTAAAATACATTTCCGAAGGGCACAACGTCGGGGCATGAATTCCGGGCCGAATGCCCTGCCATTACGCCACACGACGCCACGTCGATTTTTAGAACAGATAAACACGCATCGCATTTTGTCGCAAGCCATCATTTTATCGCAGTAACTTCAGCGCCCAAAGCTTTGAATACTATGTATCTTATTTAACAGTGTTCTGTTAATTTTAGCTGAACATGTAATTTGGCTGGGCACTCTTTGTGACGGAGTGTGATATTTGTGGCCAATAATTTCATCATTACCCGATTAATATTACATCTTTCAGAAATCTTTCAGAAAAAAATCCCCGGATACGAGAGTGGAGGACAAAATTCTGGAGACATAGAAGAAGAAATTGAGAAATTTGACAGCACAAAAAAAATGTAACAAGAAAATGGGTGTGATATGTTAACCTGACATGATGCTAGTTGAGCAATTTTACATGGACCCGCCATTAGACCAGACTGCGAAAGCGAGCAACAACTTTCTTGTTTCATACAGCACCACCATACCAGTACTTAACTGATTTTTTGTCAAAATCGAGAAAGAAATGTTTATGCTACATTTCATTTTCTCGAAAACGCCACTCTAAGAGCGTGTCAGCGAGCTAAATTACGGAACGGTGCGTGAGTGACGCATATCTCCAATTAATCCTCAAACATTGTACGAGGATAGCTGTGAAACCATCACCATTGTTCTGCCACCTGTGGCTTTTGTGGGCCTCTATGTTATTGCTAGCGACGGCCTGACAACAAAACCCACAGGTGGCATGACAATGTTGATGGTTTTACAGCTAAGAAATGAAATTTTGCGATATCAATCCTCAAGCATTAATCCTGAAGACTGCGAAAGCGAGCAACAACTTTCTCATTAATGTTATGCTATAGGTATTGGTGCGCCAGCCAATTCTATTTATGTTTATGTTATACTTTATGTCATCTTTATGTTAACATTTGTATTATGTTTATGAGCAGCGGATTCACATAAGCACAACAAGTGCTTCCTATCCAATGCTCAAAAATCCATGTGAATAAAATAAAATAAAATAAAATAAATAACAACTTTCTTAGCTCTAATACCATCAGCATTGTCCTACCACCTGTGACTTTTGTGGGCCTCTATGTTATTGCTAACGACGGCCTGACAACAAAACCCACAGGTGGCATCACAATGTTGATGGTTTTACAGCTAAGAAAGGCCGTGTTTAAGTGAAGTCACCCAAACCGCAATTCGGGTAACTCACATTCCTCACATCTGGTCCACGTGCCACACACTCCTGTGAAACCGTGTCCGATCACAATTCGCTTGAGCTACATTTATTGCTGTTTGATGATAACACGAAATGGATATGCTACATTTCATTTTCTCGAAAACGCCACTCTAAGAGCGTGTCAGCGAGCTAAATTACGGAACGGTGCGTGAGTGACGCATATCTCCAATTAATCCTCAAACATTGTACGAGGATAGCTGTGAAACCATCAACATTGTCCTGCCACCTGTGTCTTTTGTGGGTCCCTATGTAATTCCTAGCGACGGCCTGACAACAAAACCCACAGGTGGCAGGACAATGTTGATGGTTTTACAGCTAAGAAATGAAATTTTGCGATATAATCCTCAAGCAGTAATCCTCAAGACTGCGAAAGCGAGCAACAACTTTCTTATTTCATACAGGACCACCATACTAGTAGTTAACTGATTTTTTTTCAAAATCGAGAAAGAAATGTTTATCCTACATTTCATTTTCTCGAAAACGCCACTCTAAGAGCGTGCCAGCGAGCTAAATTACGGAGCGGTGCGTGAGTGACACACGTTTCTAGTTAATCCTCAAACATTGTATGAGGATAGCTGTGAAACCATCATCATTGTTCTGCCACCTGTGGTTTTGTGGGCCTCTATGTTATTGCTAGCGACGGCCTAACAACAAAACCCACAGGTGGCAGGACAATGTTGATGGTTTTACAGCTAAGAAATGAACTGTTGCGATATTAATCCTCAAGTATTAACGGTGCACAAGCATATCTTACACTATGTATCCGTCACTAGAGCGAAAGCGAGCAACAACTTTCTTAGCTGTAATACCATCAACATTGTCCTGTCTAATTCCTAGCGGCGGCTTGACAACAAAAACCACAGGTGGCATCACAATGGTGGTGGTTTTACAGCTAAGAAAGTTGTTGCTCGCTTTCGCTCTAGTGACGGATACATAGTGTAAGATATGCTTGTGCACCGTGGCTTGTGCAGTACATCATGGCACCGCATGGGGGCACCAGTGACTGGTTCATGACTCCTGCTGTAACAATGTTGCATGGAATTCATGGAGGCGAGTCTTAGGCCGTGCCTATGTGGAATCACCCAAGGCGGTTTACATGTGGTTTAACCCGAAGCCGGTTTCAAGTGGCTCCATGTGAACGCTCCATGTGAATCACATTGAAAGCGCCTTGATCCCAAACCACTTCTAGAGGTGGTTTCGAATCGGTTTTCCCGCATCGCGATTTGCGTCTGAACGCGATGAATGTTGATGGTTTTACAGCTAAGAAATGAAATTTTGCGATATTAAACCTCAAGTATTAATCCTCAAGACTGCGAAAGCGAGCAACAAGTTTCTTAGCTGTAATACCATCAACATTGTCCTGTCACCTGTGGCTTTTGTGGGCCTCTATGTAATTCCTAGCGGCGGCTTGACAACAAAAACCACAGGTGGCATGACAATGGTGGTGGTTTTACAGCTAAGAAAGTTGTTGCTCGCTTTCGCTCTAGTGACGGATACATAGTGTAAGATATGCTTGTGCACCGTGGCTTGTGCAGTACATCATGGCACCGCATGGGGGCACCAGTGACTGGTTCATAACACCTGTTGTAACAACGTTTCATAGAATTCAGGGCGGCGAGTCTTACACTAGATCAAAACAACGTGGCTTGTGCAGTATACCATGGCACCGCATGGGGGCACCAGTGACTGGTTCATAACACCTGCTGTAACAACGTCTCATAGAATTCAGGGCGGCGAGTCTTACACTAGATCAAAACAGTCTCCACAATTAAACCAAAGTAGTTTCAAGGAGCCCACCTGCTGTTAATCGTAGCCGGTCGCTTTAACCTCGTTTCTACTAAGAAAAATTTCTCGTATATATTCACCAATTTCACACTTCCCATAATGCCTTGTAAAGATCACGGATATGACGTAAGACCATCCCCCCTCCCCCTTCCTCGATGTAATATTTCCAACAAGTTCTATCAACAAACTGGTCAACTATTGTTTTGAATTATTTAACTAGTATGCCATAATTTCTTTTTTTTTAAATTAGAGAAAATGATGTACCTTCTTTTGTACTACCTTCTACCGAAGACTCTCCTACTCCCTCGGTCGCATTACGTATATCCCCTTCTTACGTCATATCCCATCCATATCCGTGATCTTTACTAGGCATCATGGGAAGTGTGAAATTGGTGAATACATAGCCTTTATCGCAGATAGAACGCGCGCAAGGGATGCCGGGACAATTTGTGGTAATTCGATCCCTGAGTAATGGCGGCGGTTTTTAAACTCCATGAAATGGTGTATCTTGTAATCAGTCTGGATAATTGAATAGCAAAGTTCTTTGATCACAACCATTTATTTTTTACGAGCCGACGTTTCGATGACCGTCTGTCATCTTCATGTGGGCAATTCTGACTGGTTTACAGTGCACTGACGCTAGATGTTACTTGGTGCATAGTGCACTAAAGGTGTTACATGGTTTATAATGCACTGTTACTTCGATCATCTAGTGTCATTTTCTCACCAGGAAACCATGCCTTCGAGGTCCTCCGTACGGCAAACCAGGCGTATAATGGAGTCGACTTCTTTGCCATCGAGGCAAAGTTACCAGCTGACGGCCTGTCTGCCTCTTCAGACTGGTGCAGGGATTACCAGAACCTGTGTGCTGGCTACGGACTGAGGCCGACGGGATGTGGAGAGGACTATGCAGTCGAGGGTGGGAACAACAGCCACCCCGACCGTATCCGGTAGGACGTGTGACATTCAGGGCAGTCATAGTGCATGCTGGGTAATCCTGTCATAGGGCACGCTGGGCAATCCTGTCATAGTGCACACTGGGTAATCCTGTCATAGTGCATGCTGGTTAATCCTGTCATAGTGCACGCTGGTTAATCCTGTCATAGTGCATGCTGGTTAATCCTGTCATAGTGCACGCTGGTTAATCCTGTCATAGGGCACGCTGGGCAATCCTGTCATAGTGCACACTGGGTAATCCTGTCATAGTGCATGCTGCTTAATCCTGTCATAGTGCACGTTGGTTAATCCTGTCATAGTGCATGCTGGTTAATCCTGTCATAGTGCACGCTGGTTAATCCTGTCATAGGGCACGCTGGTTAATCCTGTCATAGTGCACGCTGGGTAATCCTGTCATAGTGCACACTGGGTAATCCTGTCATAGTGCACACTGGGTAATCCTGTCATAGTGCACACTGGGTAATCCTGTCATAGTGCACACTGGGTAATCCTGTCATAGTGCACACTGGGTAATCCTGTCATAGTGCACACTGGGTAATCCTGTCATAGTGCACAATGGTTAATCCTGTCATAGTGCACACTGGTTAATCCTGTCATAGTGCACACTGGGTAATCCTGCCATAGTGTATACTGGGTAATCCTGTCATAGTGTACACTGGTTAATAATCCTGTCACAAATGTTGTCGTGTTTCCAGGTGTGTGACTGAGTATAACTCCGACCCGTACATCAACAACGTGCTCGGCTGTCTCCCGGCCAAAAGTGTAGCTACCGTGGCGAACTTGGCTTTGTCCGCCGGGGCTAAAGCGGACAGGAGTTTCGGCTTTGGCAAATGTGCCACCAGCAAATGCCAACGTGGGATACTTGAGAGTCGTTTCAGTCTGTACAATACGAAAGCAGCCTTTGGCTCGGACGGGAGCGGAGACAGGATTGTGTACACCGTGTGCGCGGGCTCAGTAGGTAAATACTATTTTTTATTAATAGTAATAAATTAATTTATAATTAATAGTTTATGGTGGGAGCCAGATGTGTTTAGCTGGTCAAACACGTAGGTCTGGACTTAGTATAAAATATAATATTCCTGTTGTCTGTGTTCCTTACCTTGACCAGATAACAGCGGCTGTGCCCAGATTCGGAACAAACTCCCGGGGGGAGGTTACAACTGTTCCTGTCGGGCGGAATTTGTTCTAATGGAGGATGGCCATGGCTGTGAAGGTAGGGAACTGCTGCCTTGTCATTTTCCGTCCACATCTGTATGTATGTATGTATGTATGTATGTGGTATCCCGGGTAGTAGGGCTGCTTAGCAAAAATTGAATTCCTGATACCCTAAAACCAAAATGCAGATTTATGAATACGTAATGCAAATAACATCCCTCATAATACTAGCATGCTTATGGGCAATTTCCCAAGTGATACCAATTTAGCAAAGGTGCAACCGATATTTGTTCAAGTTTCTGTCCATGTCATGGAACCTTTGCCACAGCATGCTGTGTTTGAATGTCTGTGTTAGAATCAGTAATTGTAACTATTAAGGATTATGATATCATGTATAAGAAATATCAGCCACCCTTTAAGAAAGACATTAAATGTCCATGTATAATAAACAAACCAAAAATTGGAAGCTGAAATATGTATAATAAACAAACCAAAAATTGGAAGCTGAAATTAGAACTGCCATAACCAAAGTATATAAACTAAGGTTATTATGAACTCTAACCACTGAAGTCAACCATTATGGACTGACTGTGTAAATTTGAGGATTTTCAGCCAATAACATTTCTCATTTTTTAATCTCTGCAGAAGATGAGTGTGCAACAGACAACGGTGGATGTGCCCAAACCTGCACCAAAGTACCAGGAAGCTACACCTGTTCCTGTCACCGGGGCTTCGTTTTGAAGACAGACGGACATGGATGCGAAGGTAAAACTGGATTGTACTTTTTTCACATGCTCAAATTTAGTTTAAGCAATCTGGCGAACTTATCAAGATCATTTTAAAGGTGTTGACCCCTCACTTGTATGGATCCAGGAAGAGTTACTGTATATAGTTACTGTAGGTTTAGATTTTCAAGTCTAACCTAATGGACTTCTAATAAAACATCCAACAAATATCAAGATTTCTTCACAGGACTTTCAGCCAATAACGATTGTCACGTCTGTTATTTCTAAACTCTTTGCAGATATTGACGAGTGTGCAACAGACAACGGTGGATGTGCCCAAACCTGCACCAACGTCCCAGGAAGTTACACCTGTTCCTGTCAACAGAGCTTCGTGTTGAAGGTAGATGAGCATGGCTGTGAAGGTAAGACTGAATTCTACTTTTTTTACATGCTTAAAAGCAATCTGGTGAACCTCTCATGTAATGGATTTCTTATAAAAACATGCAACAAACATCAAAATTTCTTGACTGTATTTCTTCATCCAATAAGGCTTGTCTTGTCTGTAATTTCTAAACTCTTTTCAGAGTTTCCTTGTTATTGGCTGATCTGATTGTTTTTATATATAATGATGATAAATAGTAGAAGTAAGTAGTAATGATGATTATAGTCATCTCCAGTGATTCTATCATACATCTACTAGTAATCAGATTGATCCTGAAGCAGTGTCTGATGTGATCATGGTCAATGTCGCTGTTTATATGAACTCAAGTTCCATTTTCTCACCAGTAAACCATGCCTTTGAGGTCCTCCGTACGGCAAACCAGGCGTATGAGGGAGTCGACTTCTTCGCCATCGAGGCAAAGTTGCCAGCTGACGGTCTGTCTGTCAGTTCTGGGTGGTGCAATGATTACCAGAACCTGTGTGCTGGCTACGGACTGAGGCCGACGGGATGTGGAGAGGACAGGGCAACCGAGGGCGGGAGCAATCGCCACCCCGGCGCTATCCGGTAGGACGTGTGACATTCAGGGCAGTCATAGTGCATGCTGGGTAATCCTGTTATAGTGCACACTGGTTAAAGCTGTCATAGTGCACGCTGGTTAATCATGTCATAGTGCACACTGGTTAATCCTGTCTTGTGATCTGAAGTGCAGAAACTAAAGTCATAAGTGTGTATAAGTACTGATAAAATCATCTAGATTTTAATTTTATTCCATAATACATAACTCAGGTGGGATGATGTTACATTTCTATGACCATGTTATACATTTTTGGTCTTCATAATATAGTGTATATTGTTATACAGCACTAGTGCTTATTAATTGTTTTTTAGATTATATAAAAGTTATTTTACTAAATCTTGGAATTTTCATGACTATGAAATTTGAGCTCATGATACAACATGTACCATTTAGAATGACCATTGTTCCACACAAAAAATTTGGTATGAATCCAGTATGTCGTACATGTATTATAAAGTTCACAGTCCTTAGGCAGGCTAGACAAAGTTAATCTGTGCAGCCAGTATTTTCTTACTTTTGTTATCGAAGGAGGGGTGAAGAGTTAGCAATGGTTGAGATGTCTTACAAATGTTGTTGTTTCCAGGTGCGTGACTGAGTACAACTCTGACCCCTACATCAACAACGTGCTCGGCTGTGACCCGTCCGAGGGTGTAGCTGAGGTGGCGAACTTGGCTTTCTCAGCCGGGGATACATGGGCCAGGAGTTTCGGCTTTGCCAACTGTGACACCATCCGCTGCCAACGTGGGATACGCGAGAGTGATCAGAGTCTATACAACACAGAAGCAGCCTTTGGCTCAGATGGGAGCGGAGACAGGATTGTGTACACCGTGTGCGCGGGCTCAGCAGGTATTATGTTTTATTAATAGTAATAATTAACGTTCGCCTTGCATTCGGTGGGACTTCAGTTATCTTAAAATTAAGCACTGGTACTATTGTCTAAATGTAAAATATCACAGAAATTAACAACCATTCAAAAATCACACAAAAGCTGCACTTGTTTCTGGATTGATCAAAATCTAATGTTTTTAATGTGTTAGGTTGTTGAAGTTTGTAAATAAATTGCCATTTTATGTTATTATATATATTATTTAACTGCATGATTTTGTAAAAGCTGCATTTTTTCAATACCATGGGTATCATGCCAGAACCAAAAAAAAAATCTCTCCACAGAGCCTTGTCAGACATTGCTTTTTCTAAATAACCAAATTCAATACCAGTATCTCTGTTAACGTTTATGGTGGGAGCCAGATGTGTTTAGCTGGTCAAACACGTAGGCCTGGAGTTAGTATAAAATATAACATTCCTGTTGTCTGTGTTCCTTACCTTGACCAGATAACAGCGGCTGTGCCCAGATTCGGAACAAACTCTCGGGGGGAGGTTACAACTGTTCCTGTCGGCCGGGGTTCGTTCTAATGGAGGATGGCCATGGCTGTGATGGTAGGGAACTGTTGCCTTGTCATTTTCCTTCCACATCTGTATGTATGTATGTATGTAGTATCCCAGATAGTAGGGCTGCTTAGCAAACAACTTTGAATTCCTGATGCCCTGAAACCAAAATGCAGATTTATGAATACGTAATGCAAATAACATCCCTCATAATACTAGCATGCTTATGGGCAATTTCTCAAGTGATCATACCAATTTAGCAAAGGTGCAACCGATATTTGTTCACGTTTCTGTTCATGTTATGGAACCTTTGCCACAGCATGCTGTGTTTGAATGAAAGCTCGTCTGTGCTGCTAGAATCAGTAGCTGTAACTATTGTATTATGGATTATGGATTATGATATCATGTAAAAGAAATATCAGCCACCCTTTAAGAAAGACATTAAATGTCCATGTATGATAAACAAACCAAAAATTAGAAGCTGAAATTAGAAACATAGAACTGCCATAACCAAAGTATATAAACTAAGGTTATTATTACCTCTAACCACTGAAGTCAACCATTATGGACTTGAATGTGTTAATTTGAGGATTTTCAGCCAATAACATTTTTAATCCCTGCAGAGGATGAGTGTGCAACAGACAACGGTGGATGTGCCCAAACCTGCACCAACGTCCCAGGAAGTTACACCTGTTCCTGCCCACAGGGCTTCGTGTTGAAGACAGACGGACATGGATGTGAAGGTAAGACTGGATTGTACTTTTTTTTGCATGCTCCAATTTAGTTTAAGCGATCTGGTGAACCGCTCATGATCATTTTAAAGGTGTTGACCCCTCACTTGTATGGATCCAGGAAGAGCTATATAATTACTGTAGATTTAGATTTCCATGTCTAATCTTACTAATGGATTTCTTATTTCACATCCAACAAACGTCAAAATTTCTTTGCATGACTTTCGGACAATAACGATTGTCACGTCTGTTATTTCTAAACTCTTTGCAGATATTGACGAATGTGCAACAGACAACGGTGGATGTGCCCAAACCTGCACCAACACCCAAGGAAGTTACACCTGTTCCTGTCAACAGGGCTTCGTGTTGACGGCTGACGGCCATGGTTGTGAAGGTATTAGTTAATTGTATTGTGATTGATTTTACATTTGATTCATAAGCAACAGAATTATTAAAAATACTGGTTAAAATAACACAAAATGGAGGTTAAAATTAAAATTGTTATTGCTTGGCTAATATGATAGTAACACAGCTGAAGGAATGTGATCAAACATTTGCCTTACAAATTATTAACCATTCAGCTTTTAGATAAGAAATTTTAACTTTTAAAATTGTAGCCATTGTATTTAGATGTAACAATAGTTGCTTCAGATCCTGAAGTTGCCTCTGTATTATAATGTCTTTGCAGAGCTCAACAAATGTGCGACCGAGAACGGCCGGTGTGACCAGATCTGCACCAACGTCCCCGGGAGCTACAGCTGCTTCTGCCGACAGGGCTTCGTGCTGATGGAAGACGCCCACGGCTGTCAAGGTAAAAAAAGTGTCGTTTCAGGATTGTAGTTTGCCACACAGTGTAAATACACAAAGCCCTTCTCCTTTGACTTTAACCTAAACGCAATGTCATGTACAGGTCTTCTTCACATCAGTTCTGGATTAATATTACATGTATGACAATTATTTATCATTAGCAGCTATTCTTTCAAGTAACTTTTACATAATATTATACATTTCTAACTGCCCAATTTGAATACCAGCTTTACCTTTTTAAGTTTTGAAATGCAGGTGTAATTAGAATTTTGATGTAACATGTAAAATGAAAGTCTAGTCAAAGGAACATGACGTTACCTCTTGTTGTGTTAATACTGAGTTCTTTGTTTCACAGTGTGCGGCCACTGCCTGGGCGGGGACGTGAACTGTGACCCAGTATCGGGTGTCTGCTCGGCTGGCTGCCGGGATGGATGGAAAACACAGCTTTGTGATAAAGGTATCGTATGTAGTTGACTGAGTGTTCTCTTTCAGAAATTATGCTTTAATTGTTATCCCTAAACTCTGAATTATTTTTAAAAAATGAAGCTGCATAATTTTGTGACCTGGGTTTACATTATCATGTTTCAGCATTGTTTTAGAAATGCCTGTAATTTAAACATATCTGATCAATGAAGTTATAATGAGGTTATAATCACATGTTTGGTGCTCTATTTACATCTATGTTAAAAGCGTGCATTTCTTAACTCCTGTTTTGATCCTTATTCTTGCAGCTGTGGATCCACCAATGGACCTGGCCGTAACTGACATCATGGACGAAGGGTTTAAGGTCACCTGGTCTCCATCCCCTGACCCTGACCTTCAGGGGTACCGTGTGGTGGTCTCCAACCTGAACATGACGACAGCTGTCAATCAGAGCACTGACGAGGCGTGGTTTCCGGTGGTCGGCCTGTTCCCGGAGACTGCTTACATCATCAGGGTGACGGCCCTGTTCTCTTCAGGTGCTTGGAGGTCACAGAGCGAGGCGACAGTGATACTGGCAACCACGGGTAGGGAGAGTCTAGCTGCTGTTGACTGTTGATATATCCAAAGATGGAACTTATGCTGACTCTTTATTGGTACCAGAACATTGCCAGGTTGTGCATTGCTGGATTCATGATGAATAAAAACATTTTTAAGAGAATCTAGTTTTTTTAAGCGCGTTTTTGCACATGCGGAACTGTGAACCACAGCCATACCCATAACTATGTACTAACTAATCAAAGGGTTCATCCTGGTTGTATTTAAAAGCTATGGGAGAAGCACTTGATCTAATGTACTATGTTTATTTCACTTGCTTATTCCATATTATTTTGTCCTCCAAAAAGAAAATATTGGATTTAGTCCAGATACATGCTAAAACCTTAAAATTAGATTTGTATCAGAGTGCATGTACAGATACAGTCTCTTGTTTTGTTTTTATCAGTACTGTTCTTCTAACAAAAGATTAAGAAGAATTCAGTGAATCTCTTAACCTGAGTCTTTTCTCTGCCAGCCGCCATACCAACCACAATTCCTGCTGCTACAACCCAGCAGACAGGTCGAATGACCACCCGCATTTCCACCAAACCTGCAACTTCGACCGTACAACATGCACCTGAAGCTGGGTGGGACGAGGAATCATCTGATGACGGTAGGTTCCCAGCATTGAAACACTGGAGAGACCATCATTAATTAAATGTAGTGGACACTTTTAGAGTCTATGATGTTGCTATTCAACATCCCAACAATTCAGTCAGTACAAAATCATGATAATTATGGTTTGCTTGATGAAATCTGGTGTTCCAATGATATCAGCTGTAGTGTTAGTATTGTTATATACCTCAAAACTTAAGAAAATCATCTTTAGATATTGGTGTTTTGATGCTAATGTTTTTATCTACAGCCACCACACCATCAGCTGCTGAAACAACTAAGCAGACAAGCGTGATGCCCACATCCATGTCCACCAGACCATCAACTCCAACTGCACAACTCGGATCGGATACCGATGGTAGGTCTGTTTGCCTTTGAGCAAATTCATGGCGCAACCTGGTCACTTTTTACAAGGTTGTGCAACATATGACATAGTCAACATACCAACAACTTATCTAGTGTGATATAACGTATGTTTTAGACTGGACAGGTGTAAATGTGTACATAGTCCCATAACTGTCTTCTTTTCAGTGATCAAAGATTGGAGGAGGCTTTTGAAACTATGCTGTTCCTTTGACAGTAGAATCTGATCTAAATTGCAAACCCATCATGTCCTTCAATGTCTAAGATCAAGTAAAAGAATGCTGTGCTTTGATGTCATTGCGAAGGTAAGATGTGGTTATAATTAGTAATTGAAGGATTCTATTTTCTGTTGTGCAGGAACCACAGAGACCATCAGCAGGCCGCCGGGCGGCAACAGGGCAACGCCAGCTGATCAGGTAAACTGTGCAGTTCTACAGCTGAGGGGATTTTAGTGGATTTGTATTGTTGACCCATGGTTGACTTGGTAACAGTCTGGAGAGCATCTATGCAGAATCCGTCAGCTCAAGCCCACAGGATGTGCTCCAGATTCTGGCTCAGGTTTAGTCACACTAAAAACTTTCTGTCAGCTATTCTCACAACAACATTATGTCACAGGGTTCTCCCCAGTAATGTGGAGTATGATGGTTAAACCACCCAAGGGGGCTCACGGTGGTTAGATGTATTTGTGCACACTGACCATATATTTTATGCCAATTAACATTTCTGTTCCATATTCTATTATTAGTCTATAGAGTCTATAAAAACACATAGTAGCAAACTATAAGGTTCTATAAGAAGGAAAGAAACTGGTAGAAAAGTATACTTCTTTGCTAAATTAGTATCATAAGAAATTGCCATGAACATATGGTGGTGTGTTTGTATTATCAGAGTTACTGTAGAATGTTACATTTACATGAACATAGTCGCTAACTACCAACCTTTTCTGTAACTTTGTCGTTCTGTAATGAGAAGGCTGCAGATGTCTCTGGAGATGATGTTGTGTTGGGGCAGCAGACTTCACCTGCTGAGGAAAAGGCGCAGGTAAGCCATCTTTGATAGTCTATGGATGTTAAACATTGGAAAACATTTGGGAACGCTGTCTGGACCAGGTTAAGGAACAAAGGTGTTCAATCTTGTTTTTATAATCCGTTGTTGTAGATGTGCAGGAAGGCAATTGAAACATTGACCTCTGAAATGGGTCGGGCCCAGACACCGCAAGGTCTGCAAAGGATGTCTGAGTTATCATCACTTGTCATTAAGTCCTGCCCTGGCATTCCACAGGAGGATAAGGTACAAGTCTCTGATGGGAGTTTTACAAAGCTGAACCGTTTGACTCCTCACCTACATCTACAATCTTGACTACTCATGGAGCTACACTTGCAGCTGTGCAGAAAACTATGATCTTTCTCTAATTCTATATGATTGTGCCTTTTTTCATGTATGGCCTGAGCCTTTACTTTATTGTGTGGGCATCCTTTTGCAATGTTTATATCTGAAACTTAAATGTGCTGAACAAAAACATTTCATTTTTACGTAATCCATTTCAAAGTCTTTTCTCACATAATGTTTTCACTACAAATGCATTTTAAGTGGAATACTGCCCAACATGTTTGCATATTTAGATGCTGGTTTAGCAACAAAAGTGTTGCTTTAAGACTTAGAGGTCTAGTTTTAAAACAACAAATTGATGCTGTCCTATAGGATATGGCCATGGGTGTTCTGAAGTCCATCACCAACAACCTGGACCAGCTGGACATGTCTGACCCGTCTACTGTCCAGTCTGTGGGAGGATGTGAGTACAATGTCATGTTCACCAGTCATATGGTTCCTCATGTAATGTATCCTCAAGTTTTTTTTGTTTGACTGTTTCTTTAAATCCAGGAGAAACATGTCACAAAACTTTTGAAGGTATTTCTCAATGGTTCCTGTCAGAAAACATCAAACAAAGACTAACATATAACAGAAAGAAAGAAATATCAAATGAAACTGTTTCTTCTGTTGTACTGCAGCTCTGGTGGAGTCAGTTGGTTCTGTGTTCATTACTTTGATAACACTTGTTTCTGTTCTACTGCAGCTCTGGTGGAGTCCATTGGTTCTCTGCTTGAGGACCCAGAGAGAGATGAAAAAGAGGCTGATGTGAAGCTTACTTCTGATCTTGAGGAGGACCAGAGTCTCTCTCCAAAGGAGCGCATTCAAAAGGCAGAAGAAAAGAAGCAGGAGAACCAAGCTAAGGTAACAAAAAGTCCTTTATGAAAATGATTTCTTTAATGCTTTATTTTACTCTACTATACATTCGAGTATCCTTTGTTAGAGTTTATCTTCCACCCTAGATTTTTTCAAAAACACATTACAAGCTTTCCTTCTTTGCTTCATTTCAAATCTATAGACTGAAAAAAATCTGTCTCAAATATATAATTGTTCACCATAGATGCATTTGGTTCTTAAAACCCCCAAAAGACTTTCAAACCTATGTATACTGACCACAACGTACATGTATATAATATACACCAACTCTGGATTAGCCCTTTGGTACCAAACTTGTATTGGTTATGGGGTTAAGCTGCATGGAGGTTAATAACGATCACAGTTTCAGCACTAGGGACAGAGCCATTAACTGTTAGCCTGCTAAGCCAGCCATTTGGCATCAAATCTGTATTGCTTACATGGTTATACAGCAGGGAGAGTCTTGATTTTTCATGGTTGATCTAACCAAGCAACTATTTTCTTAAATAGAATGTCATTAGCTATAATGAATATTGTGTTTTAAATATACATGTTTTGTAACATCTCATGATATTTAAAAAGAACAGAATCATCTGAGTGAGAGTAACTGATCGTGATGTCTTGTTGGTTCTTTACAGAGACGAAGATTTGTCCAGGAAGGCCGCCAGGTCCTGGACGGTCTGTTCAACGCCATCATCAGCGCCACGAGGCCAGGAGCCCCGGCGGTCACCATCGAGAGGGGCGGCATCACGCTGCTTGCCCAGAGGATCTGGGGCAACCAGTTTGGAGGCCAGGTCGTGCAGACGGAGGATGGGAGCTTCCAACTTCCGTCTAAAGCAGCGCTTTTCGCAGACTATACACCACACAACGTCGCTATGAAGGTACATGTCAAGTCCTCGGGTCATCAATGATCCTTAACATCATAATATCCTTTGAGGAAACATTCCAGAATTCCTGAAAATAGCCAGGTCTTTTGCGTAGCTTTTCACATCCTCATAGTTATGAAAATTGAATCATTGCAGAGGAATTTTCTCTTTACAGGTTACCCCACTGCTTAACAACATTTTCTTTTTGGTGCTTGAATCGAACATGCAGTACAGAAATTTATTTATTTTGTTTATGACAGAATGTTACAAAACAACAGGAGTTATTGATAATTTAATTTTGTTGTGTTCCAGTTGACACAGTTTCAACAGAACCCTTTTACCTGGGGGCGCGGGGAGTACCAACCACGTTCGTCTGTCATGGAACTGTCACTCCAACAGAACAACTTCCCCGTGGCCTTCAACAACTTGACTGAAGATTTCAACATCACCATTCCGGCCAAATCCGGAAACAAACCAGCGACAACAACCGTCACCATCCCTGCCCAAGGAAACGGAAGTTCCAGCTACCATTTGCTGAACCTCACCAACGCCGCAGAAGGCTTCCTGGTCACAATCACCCCGCTGAACACCAGCGTGGTTTACCGTGTGTCGGGCAGGTACGGCGGCCGCCCTGGTGACCAAAACTACAACATGTCCACAGAGACGTACATCCTACCCGAGGAGTGTGCCTTGATGAAAACTCTGAGTGGCGAGGAAGACACAGAGAAGACAGAGACAAGAATGTTCATCTCGGGAGAGGATGGTCCTGTGGATTACTACATCAAGGTCGAAATACTTGGTGAGTAGTTTTCAAACACAAACATGCTTGACAGAACTAGAAGGTGAATGTGTGTGCCAGATAAAGTGGGATTGCCTTGTCCATAATGATCACTTAACTTGGTTTGGTGATATCTGTTCTTTTGGTTATATCTGTTCTTTTAATACAAAACACGTATTTTGTATTGTGTAACTTTACAAGGTACATTGTAACAACATGTTACAATATTTGAGTATTTTTTCACTTCTCAGGTCTGTTTTCAATGTCCCTTTTTTCAGGACCAGTGACTGAGTGTGGCAGTGAGAAAAGAACCGACGTGAAGAAGCCACACGCCGCTGACTTCTACGCCTACCAGATGGAATGGGCCCGTTTGGGCTGTGTCTTCTGGAGCGAGACGCAGGAAGCCTGGAGAACGGACGGCTGCTCGGTGGGTACAGGCTCTCCTTGCTTTGGGGACGCCTTCATTCTTAGTATTCACGATTGTTAGAATCATTTGGAAAACCTATTTTCTAGCATGATTTTGAAGATAGGTTTTCCAAATTATGTCAAAGGACCCATGTTTGGACTTAATGTGATCACATGTCTCTTTACTGCTTTCTACAGATAAGCAATCAGTCCACCATTACCAGCACTATCTGTCACTGCAACCATCTGACAGCCTTCGGGAGTGACTTCGCCACACCGCCAAACACCATCGTGTTCGAGGCGTTGAACTTCAGTGATCTTGCAGACAACGGTGCCGTCGTGGCGACCATCATTGCGGGGCTCTGTCTCTTCTCGTTCGCATCAGTCGCGATCAAGATTGCTGAGCGTAGAGGAAAAGGGAAGGTAAGTGGGCATCACCAGTCACCCATATCAGGCCAACAGAAGTGGCCATGTGTAATGTCGAGTCTTTGCTCTGTGGACTTGTTATTTCTAATGGATTTTCTGGTAGATTTATCTGAATCAGCACATGTTTAATATCTATCATTAGTTTTTCCAACTAGCCTATATCTCAAAGGCTCTAAACCCTGCCCTGCATGTACATATAAATAAAGTCTAAAAAGTTTAAATAGCTACCATACTTGCAATGTATCTGTATAACCTAACGTAAAGGCTGCTTTTTTATTCTTCAGTCAATCTACTGTGAGAGGTCAAGGTCAGTATGTACATGTATGTGAACATTTATGTTCTATCTCTTCGTACATTGCTACAGTTAAGTGGAGCTGTAAGGTTGGACAACCTTCAGGACAACTTCCGGTACCGCCTCCTCATCTGGACAGGTGCAGCTAAGCATGCTGGGACAGAGTCTACAGTTGCCTTCAAGCTGTTCGGAGATGCAGCAAACTCTGATGTGAGACTGGTCGACCTCACAGAGAAGGTTAGACCATCAAATTTGGCACTGACCACTCCTATTGCAATTTCATCACCCAACTTTTCTCTGCAGATGTTTTAACTCACAGTATGTCCTAACAGGTTGAATTTCTGTTGCTGTTTAGGTTTTCACCCGAACCAGCCAGGTGACCCTGACCTTCAGCACAGCAGAACAGCTGGGTAAGGTGGAGCTGCTGCAGCTCATGCACGACAACAGTGGGGAGGGGAGCCGCGCATCGTGGCACGTGGACCGAGCAGCCGTGCAGGATCTCACCACAGGCAAACTGTGAGTCCAGCCAAGCGCTGTCTACTTTCATCCAATCATAATCATGGGAGGGTTGTTCAATAAAGTTTTCACCTGACCCACTTCCAGGTCTTTTGGAAGAGTTACATTTCTTTCTCTTGGAACTGCAGGTTCTATTTCTTCTGCGACGAGTGGCTGGCAGCCGACCGCGGGGACGGGCAGGTCGTGAAGACCTTTCCCGTCGCCTCTGAGGAGGACCTGCGATCCTTCGGGTTCCTGTTCCCGGCAAGTTTGCGCCATAACCTGACAGAGGAACACCTACTTCTGTCCGTCGCCTTCAAGCCTGAAGGTATCATTTTGCTTTTTCAACTTTACTGCAAAATGTTTATCTTGGCTGATCTGAGGTAGTCTCTAGATGTGTATGTCTAAAATTCCCCTCACACTAGTCATTCTATTTTTTTTTTGCATATTTTGTTATTGCTTCTTGCTGGCTGCGTTTCATCTGGAGTGTTGCTTTCATTGTTTATTATTAAGACCAACTTCTCTTGATAAAAAATGTCCCCCATTATGTTTCCTCTACAGGTAGCACGTTCACCCGCATCGAGAGGCTTGGCTGCTGCCTGAGTTTCTTCGCTATGTCCATGGTGTCCAGCGCCATGTGGCTGAGGGATGAAGTAGAAACCGAAATCGTGCGGGTCTTCAGCCTGGGGCCGTTCTCCTTCACCTTGAACGGAGTCTACACGGGGTTCATGGCCAGCATCACCTGCCTTCCCGTGGCAACAGCCATAGTGCTGCTGTTCCAGTACAGCCGGCCGAGCAGCAAGGGCGACCGCCGGGTCCGAGACGTGGAGACGGGCGGCCCACCTGAGGCACCCACCCAGAGGGGTCCAGCCAAGCGCCTGCCACACGGGTGCAGGTACGTGGCATGGATGCTGGTGATGCTGTCTTTCCTGGGGTCAGCTGTCTTCACCACGCTGTTCAGCATGCAGTGGGGCAAGGACAAGACCAACAAGTGGCTGTCTGCATTCATCATCTCCTTTCTGGCAGACGTCTTCCTTATGCAACCAGGGAAGGTAAGAACATTGTCTACTAATAGGTGGTTATCGTTTTAACACTTTCAATTATTATGTTTGTTTCAGGTTGGATATTTAAATAATTACTTTTATTGTTAAACACCTGAAAATGCCAACTGTCAGCACCATTCAAGCTTGGATATCAATTTCGTGATTACATGTTTGTTGTAGTAGCCACCCTAACAACCAAGTCTTTTATCTTACAGATATTTCTTCTTGCCATCTTCACTTCATCTCTTCGCAAGACACAAGCCGTCAAGAAGATTTTTGAAGAGAAATGGAGCCCCGTTTTGATGGAAGCCAATGCTGTGTCAGGCTTTAACTGTAAGTTGGTAACATCAAATACTAAGTTAATTCCACCAGGTCACAAAATAACTAAGACTTCCATTTGTGGTGTTGTTTCCACTTTTCTAACAAATACAGACCATAATGACTTCATTTATATTTTTCTTGCTTACTACAGGGAATGCATTTCGCACGAGGAGAAAGATGGAGCGACTTTCGATGACGTCCCTTATCAACATCAAACAAGCAAGGAAGAAGCAGCGCAGGGACAGGAGGAATGGCGAAATCCTTCGGGACATCATGGTGTCTTGCTTTTACGTGCTGCTTGTCCTCAGCATCACCAACGAACACCACAGCACCACCCAGGCCTTCTATCAGACACAGAGCGCAACCAACACCTTTGTGCAGTCCTTGGACGAGGTAAGATCATTACAGGGCCTTACATTGTACATTGGTGTCTGATCACTAAATCATTGCATTGGCCAGATTATCCTTTCAAGCCAGTGGAAACCCTTTAGCCATGTTGACACAGGTAACAGCTAAATTACTTATTCCCCAAGATTATTCTTTTCAAATTATTTCTTTGTTCAGTAAAATCACCAGTTCTCTTTTCTCCACAGGTAGATGATGCTGATACCTTCTGGTCCTGGCTGAACGGGACCGCTCTGGAGAACTTCTACCCGGAGACTTCCTACAATGACAACAAGCTTCGCTGGCAGGATAAGGGCTTCACGGCAGACATGCAGTCAGTCCTGGTCGCCCCGTCTAGCATGATCCAAGTCCGAGTAAAGCCAGGTGGGTGGAACCACTTTGCACATAGAACATTTGCTGTGGGCTCACATGGCAAACATTACTAGAGGAAACATGAGTGGTGAAAAGTTAAATTTGACAAATTCAAAGGATCATTATGATCTCCTTATTCATCAAAAAATATTTCAAGACACCTACCTAAAATTAAGAGGATGCCAAAATAACAAAACTGTTAACCTCTGATTTGTGACTTTTTTTCCTTTCCATCTCCTGTCATCCCAGGGCTGTGCACAGTGCCAGCAGCAATGCAGAAGTCGTTTGACGAATGTTCATCAGGGTACGATGAACACACCAAGGAGACCGGAGCGTTTCGAAAGGGCTGGGAAAGGGTCATGAATACGTCAGCGATGGAGTCAGAAGCCCCTGGATGGACCTACCTCCACAGTGGATACACCAGTCTCCCCATCTACGGTTTGACGACGCAGTACTGGGGAGACGGCTTCGGGCTGAACCTGGGAAAATCTGCAGACGAGATGCGCAGCATCCTGGCAGAGCTGAAGGCCAACCGTTGGATCGACAAGCGGACGAGGGCCATCTTCTTGGAAGCGTTGCTCTACAACGGGAACCTGGATCTGTTCACATCGGTGACGATGGTGTTTGAATTCTCCGAGACGGCCGGAGTTTTTACCCATCATCGCGTGCAGGCCTTCCGACTTCATCAACGGCCAGGAACGATCGGGTACATCTACGTCCTGCTGGAAATCACTTACGTCATCGTTCTCCTCTACACACTGTGGAAAGAGACGAAAACTGCACGCGCCGCCGGCTTGGCCTACCTGAGGGAGCCATGGAAGGTTGTGGAAATCTTTAATTTCTTCTTGGCATTCACTGCCATCGCCTTGTATGGCTTCAAGAGAACCTACAGCTCCATGGCTCTGGCAGCGATCAATGCTGGGAAAGGTGTGTTTCACATTTATGCAAAACTGTAGCACAAACCATACATATCACATAAAAATTTCACTTGCTTACTGTTATAAAACATGCAACATTCTTGGACAGATTATGGAAGGTAATCATTTAACATTATGCAACGCTCTTCTTTTAAAGATGAAGTCCACCATTTCCGATATGCGGTGAACGTGAGCCTGGTTTACGGCTGGTTCCTGGCCTTCCTGACGTTTGTCAACATGATGAAGTTCCTCCGGCTGCTGAGGTTCAACCCATTCCTCGCCAAGCTGATGTCCATGATCCGAGGGATGTCGGTGGAGTTCGCTTCCTTCGCCGTCTACCTCTTCCTCGCCATGTCAGCATTCGGCGTCTTCGGTTATCTCAAGTTCGGCCTTATTGTTGAGGAGTACAGGTAAGGAAACATAGATCCTCTTTGCATCAAATTCAAACTTTTAGTTAGAAAACTTGGATGATATCTCTTTTTTCAACTTAGTTTTAGTACTGCAGTAGGGATACAAACCTTGTGACTTCTAGAAATATGATGATACAAGTTAGGTTATCATGACTGTAAAAATGATTTGATTTGTTTTCTTTTTTCAGCACCATCAGCAAGTCCTTCTCCACCCTGTTCCAGATGTCTCTTGGAAACTTCTACTACTACGAACTGCGGGAGGCATCCCCCATCCTCGGCCCCATCTTCTTCATCACTTTCATTTGCATAATCTTCCTGGTGCTGATGAACATCGCCATGGCGATCATCGACAGCGCCCTTACCGATGTGCGGAACCACATCATGTCTGAGGAGGACCAGTACTTCATCCAGGGGTTGTGGGAACGCTTCACGGCCTTCTTCGGCTTTTGGAAGGTGCCAGTCACAGGTAGCGTAGCCCTCGGTTTAACCAACCGAGAAAGTCTATCATTTTTTGGGTCTCAATTTTGTTGGAAAGTGACTTGCTTGGTCACTGAACTAGTTGGCAAATTATGGACTTGAACCCAGGATCTTTGCTTCATCACTCCAGTTATAATGCTACAGAACCACCCTCCCTGAATTCCTTTATTTACTCAAAACTTCATTCATATCTAGTGTTTAAACAAGCTGATATATAATATTTTGCCGCATGTGCTATCAAATTTTATTGTCTCCTTTGTTCAATTTTATCATATATTGTCTGCTGCTCAAAGTATGTTATCATGATTAGTAATTATCATAATCTCAGTTACAGGAAGGCCCTGGAAAAAGTATCTGACCTTCTCTGCATGTTTTCTTTTTTAATATGAACATGTATTAAGATTTGTTATTAAATAATTTATTTCATGTGTGATTAAAGAACACTGATTGAACCCTTTACATTGGTACAGAAAACAACTCATTGGACACTCTTCATGACAGCCTGGTCGAGGTGGAGATTAAAGTGGAGAAACTGTGGCTGCAGAGGCAGTTGCTCTTCAACCTCGAGTAAGTACACATTTTACAAAAAAAAATGGTATTGAGCACAGTATCTAAAATAGCCTTGATTTGTTAAAAATATATATTCAACATACAAGATTTTAGAAACTCACTCAAACACCTCTATTCTCACAGGATGAAGGACGCAGACCTCCCCGCAGAGCCCGAGTTTGTTCCGACTGTCAAAGATGTTCCCGATGCTACAGCAGTGGAACTTCATGTCCCCAAAGGAGGCTGCCGCATCATCGCGGTCCGTCCTGCATCCCCAAACAGCCGTGCAGATGACAGCAGTCAAGCGATCTGCTCCGACAGCAAGGCGCCAGTGGTGGTGGCATCCGGGTCTCCATCAAAATAGGACACCCAGGAAAGCCACCAAACAAGTGGCAAGAAGTCGGCCAAGAGAGTCCAAATTGATCTGAATCTGAATCGTGTTTTTCACTATAAGTATTATTACTACAAGGAGTGTGAAGTGGGGAGGCCAAGTGTCAACATGTCCTCTGGTCTCTCAGCCACTGACAAAATGTAGTCGATACTAGCTGAAACGTTTAACCGTTTCCAAAATCATATCCAGTTGCTTGAGTAACTGCTTTTTGGCGTATCGTATAACCTGGATGTCTAACCTTCATCGACGTATTTCCCAAAATATAATCTACAATGTAGTTAATGTGGCTTTGATAGGTTCAGTGTCAGGTACTTTGTTGTCAGGACATTTCAAGTATTCAATCTGGAATAATTTCTCTTATAGTAACATGTCACTAAACGTTTCTTTGTTATATAGTATACTCCGTTTTGTTTGTAACATATAAATAATATAATACTTCTCTTGTTGATATATTGCTGTATGTATAGGGGTTTAGTTTTCAGCGTACTACTTTATGTTTATGACTATCTGTATGAATATTGTATTTATGTTAAATGTTAAGTGGGGCTGTAAAATAAGTTGTATAACTTGAGTTCAGCCCCACTTCGTCCTTGTATTTGTATTGCTTTATTCAATAAAAAAAACAAGTCACTGTTATGTGTTACAATTTATGTGTAAATATGTTTAAAAAACATTTGTAAGTAGCACGAATTATCAGTTATTTAGTTACAAGACAACAACAATGGTTGAACTTCATTATTTTGTGATTTCAAGATCTGTAAAGGAAATCAGATGAAGTTTTGGATGATTTTTTGTTCATGAATGTTCACTGTTAGGGAATGACACTTTTGTCAAATGGTTGCTTTGAAGCTTTATATTTCTTATATATAATAACATATGTACGATTTTGTGGTGGAAGAACTTGCTTTACTAAAGGACTTAATTACCGAGGGCATTTACATTTTCTTGTCTCAGTGTTGTATAAAGGAACATTGTGGAGACTTAGGCCACACCAATTTAATTATCTGCAAATGTATAATTTGTCGTATGTATAATTTTGTCGTGGAAGAACTTGCTGTATTAAAATTTTACTAAGGACATGGTATCTAGTTTGGTGGTCTTCAGAGGATGTCATCCATAAAATTACGTCGGTGTGGCCTTATGTTGAAATAAAAAAGAGAGGTAACTGGAACGTCGCATTTCAGTTTGATACGCTGATCATAGCCTCTTGTGCAGGCGTCCTGTGCAGGCCTCCGGGCTGGTCGGAGTTTTGATACTGCGTTTTGTAGATTTTTAACGCGTTCTTTTGCCGGCCATCTTACAACCAGCCGTCTTCGTTTGTGGGGTCGTGTGGCGTAGCGGCAGAGTGCGCGACTCGGAACTAAGAGGTCCCGGGTTCGAGTTCTGACATGCCACCGATATTGTGCCCTTGGGAAGGGCACTTTACACGACTTTCGTCACTTAACTCAGGTGAGTACTGTCCTGTCATGTATTTGTCCCGTGTCGGTGGCGGCATTAATATAAGTTGAAAAACTTGAGTGTGCCGTCACCACGTCTGGTGATTATATCACCTGGTGATGTAATCTGGTGATTACAAAAAAATAGCCGTCTAAAGAAGGCCCGTGGCGGGTACAAACCTTCTCTGGGATGTAGGATGGCCGGCAAAAGAACGTGTTAAAAATTCTACAAAACGCAGTATCAAAACTCCCACCTGCCCGGAGGCCTGCACAGGAGGCTAAACTAATCCTTTTATCCTAGTCTGAACTTTATGCCACCTGTTGCACATTGAACCATATACAAGTGGGAAGTTTAAGTTTCGTCATGGATATTTCTAGTAAAGGTGAGTCATAATGATACAGTCTGACTCAGTGCGGACATGACCCACTACACAGAGGGGGGGGGGTCAAATTAACCAAGTTAAACTCAAAACTACACCTGCCCTTGTCTTCAATGCCTTAATGTTACAAACTCTGGAGTAGAGGAGTGGGCCTCCGCAGGCTCAATATAGTCAATACATGTAAGTTGTACAACCCAGAAATAACAGTGCCCCTCCACCAGTTGTAATCTTGAATTACAACATAATAGATGATCTATTTGGAGTGGGCTCCCGCAGGATCACTATAACAGTCTATAAGTTGCACACCCCATAAATAACAGTGCCTCTCCACCAATTGTAATCTTGAATTACAACATAATAGATGATCTATTTCCACCCACTGCCCGAGTGAGCAAAGATATAAACAGGAAAAAGGTACAGTCATCGTATTCACAGTGCTTCAGTTGGCGGGGTACACCATTGTCTCTGTCTCAACATCCTTCGAACGATCCGTCGATCTTCAGGGCTCAATCTTCCGCTGCTTTCCTATTTACAGTTGTGAAAAGAAAGGTGAGTTGTGTAATAGGTGCAGTTGTTAATTACTGCTAACGATACGAGAAGAGTGAGACGTCAACACATTTGTGCGTGGTTGATATAGCGTTCTTGGGTACAAGGTGCGGCGTCGTAGCTTTCTAAAACAGTGACACGTCATCACAAGATCGAGGCGTTGAAAATTCAATTCTGTTATCGTTTTTTTTTATATCGAATTAGAAGGTGCACGACGAATACGTTGATTCTCCTGCTTAGTGAATAAAACGATACGACTACTAAAGGATGCATCAATGTAACTATGTGATTTCCTTCTTTGTATGCATGGGATATGGAAAAATTCAGGGGAAGTGTTAAGTTTCGTTGAGTATCATATCAATTCAAATTTGTGTACGGCTAACAGAAGACGTCCTTTTTAGACGATGGAAACCACAGTGACTGTTTGGATGGGTGACGCTGCTACTCCAAATGCAGCCACCAGACTGTGGAGACGCTCGGTGTCAGCCTGGGACGCCAACCCGTGGCAGATGCGTCTGGCGCTGATCTCTCTGCTCTTGTACATGGCTGATGTTATCACAGACATTATGCTGGCAGTGCAGTACTATAGCTATGGGGATTATTACTGGCTTGGCTGTACACTGGGGTTTGTGATGGCACCACCAACTTTAATGAACATTATATTAGTGTTTGGCATTGACCTTCTAGATATCAAACTGTCACTGAGGAAGTGGGAGAAGTTCCTGTTGAACTTCACATGCTTTGCTATGCCTCTTATGAAGTATGTTGAAATCATTAATCTGTTAGATGGTCGCAAAGTCGTGAAAGAAAGTTTAAAGGAAAAACTCTACCGCTTCCACCTGGTTGAAGTCATTTTGGAGAGCCTCCCTCAGCTGTGTCTACAACTTTACATCATTCGCTCCACACATGAGCAGTTCAGTGTTCTGAAGGTCATCTCCATTATGATATCACTGCTGGCAGCAGTCAAGGCTGTAGTCACATATATGTACTATGACAGATATTCAACTTATAAGGGGAGTATACTTAAATTGGTCATCAAGTTATTTATTTGGAAGGTGAGTGAACTGAGTCATCGTGTGTTTGTCATTGTGCTGTTTGCATCTATTTTTAAAGAATGGGTCATGCTTCACATTGGAATACACTGGCTGGTGATAGCGTTTTGCATAGTAATCACACTCAAGTATGAAGACGGCATTTCAGAAGCTTGTCTACAGTTGGTCACATGTGTATTCTGCACATTTCCTGATAAGGAAAATAGGGATGCAATGCATTGTGTAAGTATGAACATAGCGATCACATTGCTGGTGATGGCCCCAGCAATTGTAGGGGTCGCTTTCAATTCAGAATCATCATGGGATATGGTTTTCAATGCCACGCTTCCAATTCAGGATCATCACGGAATAAGGCAATCAGCACAGAAAATGGACATGATAGGAGTCGTCATTATGATTGCTCCAGTTACGGTGATATGGACAATGCCAATAGTGTGGAGTCAATTGTATAAATCCTCTATATCAAGGCCATGGTTGATTCTAACCCAAAAGATTGCACAATGCAGCACATCCATTTGGGAGACTTTCGGAGTCGGATGTTCTTCCAGGAAAAAGAAATGTAAGTCTGGGGAACAGACGTCAATTTCACAGTAACCTTTCTTTGAGCTTTTTTCAATGTGTGATACCTCTGATGTTATTTGTACATATTTTGACAACATTGTACACCTTACATGGACATGTTTAGTCAGGCCTGTGTCCTATATCCTATGCAAGACTTTTAGGGTCAAGATATTGATGTTGTGTTTGTAAGAACAACTTGCTACATAAAACCGTATTGATTCTAAATTACTAAATACTTAATTCAGATCTGCAATGTGGTATGTAAGATTTCAAGATTGTAGAACAAAAATTCTGTGAATCCCGATAAATTTGTTATAAGGGGGAAGAGACAGTTTGTAAGAATGTATCACGAATGCCTAGTTGTTCCACGCCGTGTTTACATACAGAATGAAGCATGTACTATGATGTAGCTCAGTCTGTTGGATCATTAAACAAACTGGATGTAAACATTGTGGCAACACTGGACTTTCATTATCATTATTTTAAGGTCTGCAAACTCTATTAATCTCCATGAACTTTATGTCACCTGTTGCACTTTGAACCATGTACAAGTGGGAAGTTTAAGTTTCGTCATGGATATTTTTACTAAAGCTGAGTCATTGTGATACGGTCAATGACTTAGTGTGGGTATCGCCCACTACACAGAGGGGGGGGGGTCAAATTAACGAAGTTAAACACAAAACTAGACCTGCCCTTGTCTGCATTGCCTTAATGTTACAAACTCTGGAGTAGAGGAGTGGGCTTCCGCAGGTTCGACAAAGTCAATGCGTTGCACAACCCAGAAATAACAGTGCCCCTCCGCCAATTTTAATCTGGAGGTACAGTTTAATATATGATTTATTTGCCCAACCGCTGCCCCCGTGAGCAAAAACAATAGGTACAAGGTACAATCATTTGGTAGACTAAGTGCATTACGCCATCAGAGGGCTTGAGCGGACAGGGGTACTCCATTCCTTCACCCTCAACATCTTTCGAAGCGGATCCACCTTCAGGACACAATCGTCCGCTGCTTTCCTATTTTCAGTCGTCACTAGGAAAGAAAGGTGAGTTGTAGCAGCTGCCGTTGTTACTGCATACAAGAATGCGAAGTCGGCACAGTGGTGCCTGGTTATACTGTAAGTACTCGGATACAAGTTGCAGCGTTTTTTTTTATAAAGCAGGGACACGTCATCAGAGGGGCTCCTTGAAAAAACGTATGACTTATGGAGGGAAAAGTCAATGAAATATGAAAGTTCGGTGGCAGCCTCTGCTTTGATTAGTGTTGTTTTCTATTGTCGGATAAATACGTTGCACGTCCTGCTTTGTGAACAACGTTTTTGATTAAAACACTGTTGCAATGTAGGTTTGATGTATGCAATTTAATTCATTGTATGCATGAGATATGGAAAGTTTTAGGTTTCATTGAGCATCACATCAACTTCAAATTTCTGTACGTCTCACAGAAGACGTCCTACAAGTTAGACGATGGACGAAACCACTAGTCTGATGATCGAAGAAGTTGCTACTCCAGTCACCGGACTGTGGAGCCGATTTCTGTCAGCTGCAGCCTGTGGCTGGAAGAAGCTTCTGTCAGCCTGGAACTCCAACCTTGTACAGATGCGTCTGGTGCTGATCTCTCTGCTCTTGTACATGGCTGACATTATCACAGACATCATGCTGGCAAAGCAGTATTATAGCAATGGTGATTATCACTGGTTTGGCTGGACAATAGGGTTTGTGATGGCACCACCAGCTGTAATGAACTTTATGTTATTAGTGTATGACATTGATCTCCTAGATATCAAACTGTCACTGAGGAAGTGGGAGAAGTGCCTGTTGAACTTCTCATGTTTTGCTCTGCCTGTAATGAAGTATGTTGAAATTATTAATCTGTTAGATGGTGGCAAAGAAGTAAAAGAAAGTTTAAAGAAAAACCTCCGCCGCTTCCACCTGGTTGAAGCCATGTTGGAGAGCCTCCCTCAGCTGTGTCTGCAAATTTACATCATTCGCTCCACACATGAGCAGGTCAGTGTCCTGAAGGTCATCACCATGGTGATATCACTGCTGGCAGCAGTCAAGGCTGTAGTCACATGTATGTACTATGACAGACGTTCAACTTATATGGGGCCAGCCACCCAACTGTGGAGCCGCTTTCTGTCAGCCTGGAACTCCAATCCTGAACAGATGCGTCTTGTGCTTATCTCTCTGCTCTTGTACATGGCTGATGTTTTCACAGATTTTAATATGTTGGTAGTGCAGTACTACAAAAAGGTTGATTATCACTGGTTTGGCCATGTTGGCAAAGCAGTACTACAACAATGGGGATTATCACTGGTTTGGCTGGACAATAGGGTTCGTATGTATAATGGCACCACCAGCTGTAATGAACATTCTATTATTAGTGTATGACATTGACCTTCTAGATATCAAACTGTCACTGAGAAAGTGGGAGAAGTTCCTGTTGAACTTCACATGTTTTGCTATGCCTCTTATGAAGTATGTTGAAATCATTAATCTGTTAGATGGTCGCAAAGTCGTGAAAGAGAGTTTAAAGGAAAAACTCTACCGCTTCCACCTGGTTGAAGCCATTTTGGAGAGCCTCCCTCAGCTCTGTCTACAACTTTATATCATTCGCTCCACACATGAGCAGTTCAGTGTTCTGAAGGTCATCACCATGGTGATATCACTGCTGGCAGCAGTCAAGGCTGTGGTTACATATATGTACTATGACAGAAGTTCAACTTATAAGGGGAGTAGCCTTAAATTGGTCATCATGTTATTCATTTGGAAGGCGCTTGAACTGAGTCTCCGTGTGCTGGTCATTGTGTTGTTTGCATCTGTTTATAAACAGTGGGTTTTCATTCACATTGGAATACACTGGCTAGTGACAGCATTTTGCATAGTATACACAACCGACGGAAACAAGTACAAAGAAGATGGCATTTTAGAAACTTGTCTACAGTTCGCCACATGTGTATTCTGCACATTCCCTGTTAAGGGAAATGGGGACGCAGTCAGTATGGCGATCACATTGATTTCTAACATTATGGTGGGAACTATATGGGTCGCTTTCGATTTAGAATCACTACACATGATACCACCCATTATCGTTGCTCTACTTACGGTGATATTTACAATGCCAATAGTGTGGGGTCAATTGTATCCACAATGCAGCACATCCATTTGGGAGACTTTCCGAGTCGGATGTTCTCCCAGGAAATAGAAATGTTAGTCTGGGGCACAGACGCCAATTTCACAGTAACCTTTCTTTGAGCTTTTTTCAATGTGTGATACCTCTGATGTTATTTGTACATATTTTGACAACATTGTACACCTTACATGGACATGTTTAGTCAGGCCTGTGTCCTATATCCTATGCAAGTCTTTTAGTGTGTATCTCAATTTTTGCTTAAGAGATATTGATGTTGTGTTTTAAAGAACGACTTGCTACATAAACCGTATTGATTGTAAAGTACTAAATACTTACTCAATTCAGATCTGCAATGTGGTATGTAAGATTTCAAGATTGTACAACAAAAATTCTGTGAATTCCGATAAATCTATTATTAGGGGGAAGAGACAGTTTGTAAGAATGTATAATGAATGACATAGTTGTTCCACGCCGTGTTTACATACAGAATGAAGCATGTACTATGATGTAGCTCAGTCTGTTGGATCATTAAACAAACTGGATGTAAACATTGAAGCAACACTGGACTTTCATTATCAGTATTTTAAGGTCTGCAAGCTCTCTTAATCTCCATGAACTCTATGCCACCTGTTGCACTTTGAACCATGTACAAGTGGGAAGTTTACGTTTCGTCATGGATATTTTTAGTAAAGGTGAGTCATAATGAAACAGTCTGACTCAGTGCGGACATGACCCACTACACAGAGGGGGGGGGGTCAAATTAACCAAGTTAAACTCAAAACTAGACCTGCCCTTGTCTTCATTGCCTTAATGTTACAAACTCTGGAGTAGAGGAGTTGTCATCCACAGGCTCAATATAGTCAATACATGTAAGTTGTACAATCCAGAAATAACAGTGCCCCTCCACCAGTTGTAATCTTGAATTACAACATAATAGATGATCTATTTGGAGTGGGCTCCCGCAGGATCACTATAACAGTCAATGCGTTGCACAACCCATAAATAACAGTGCCTCTCCACCAATTGTAATCTTGAATTACAACATAATAGATGATCTATTTCCACCCACTGCCCGAGTGAGCAAAGATATAAACAGGAAAAAGGTACAGTCATCGCATTCACAGGGCTTCAGCTGACGGGGTTCGCCATTGTCTCTGTCTCAACATTCTTCGAACGATCGGTTGATCTTCGGGGCTCAATCGTCCGCTGCTTTCCTATTTACAGTTGTGAAAAGAAAGGTGAGTTGTGTAATAGGTGCAGTTGTTAATTACTGCCAACAATACCAGAAGAGTGAGACGTGAACACATTTGTGCGTGGTTAATATTATATAATAGCGTTCTTGGGTACAAGGTGCGGCGTCGTAGCTTTCTAAAACAGAAACACGACATCACAAGATCGAGGCGTTGAAAATTCAATTCTGATATCGTTTTTTATATCGGATTAGAAGGTGCACGACCAATACGTTGATTCTCCTGCTTAGTGAATAAAACGATACGACTACTAAAGGATGCATCAATGTAACTATGTGATTTCCTTTTTTGTATGCATGGGATATGGAAAAATTCAGGGGAAGTGTCAAGTTTCGTTGAGTATCACATCAATTCAACTTTGTGTACGCCTCACAGAAGACGTCCCTTTTAGACGATGGAAACCACAGTGACTGTTTGGATGGGCGACGCTGCTACCCCAAATGCAGCCACCAGACTGTGGAGACGCTCGATGTCAGCCTGGGACGCCAACCCGTGGCAGATGCGTCTGGCGCTGATCTCTCTGCTCTTGTACATGGCTGATGTTATCACAGATATCATGCTGGCAGTGCAGTACTATAGCAATGGGGATCATTACTGGCTTGGCTGTACACTGGGGTTCGTAATGACACCACCAATTTTAATGAACATTATATTAGTGTTTGGCATTGACCTTCTAGATATCAAACTGTCACTGAGAAAGTGGGAGAAGTTCCTATGGAACTTCACATGTTTTGCTATGCCTCTTATGAAGTATGTTGAAATCATTAATCTGTTAGATGGTGGCAAAGACGTGAAAGAAAGTTTAAAGAAAAAACTCCACCACTTCCACCTGGTTGAAGCCATTTTGGAGAGCCTCCCTCAGCTGTGTCTACAACTTTACATCATTCGCTCCACACATGAGCAGTTCAGTGTTCTGAAGGTCATCACCATGGTGATATCACTGCTGGCAGCAGTCAAGGCTGTGGATACATATATGTACTATGACAGAAGTTCAACTTATAAGGGGAGTAGCCTTAAATTGGTCATCATGTTATTCATTTGGAAGGCGCTTGAACTGAGTCTCCGTGTGCTGGTCATTGTGTTGTTTGCATCTGTTTATAAACAGTGGGTTTTCATTCACATTGGCATACACTGGCTAGTGACAGCATTTTGCATAGTATACACAACCGACGGAAACAAGTACAAAGAAGATGGCATTTTAGAAACTTGTCTACAGTTCGCCACATGTGTATTCTGCACATTCCCTGTTAAGGGAAATGGGGACGCAGTAAGTATGGCGATCACATTGATTTCTAACATTATGGTGGGAGCTATATGGGTCGCTTTCGATTTAGAATCACTACACATGATACCGGTACCACCCATTATCGTTGCTCTACTTACGGTGATATTTACAATGCCAATAGTGTGGAGTCAATTGTATCCACAATGCAGTACATCCTTTTGGGAGACTTTCCGAGTAGGATGTTCTCCCAGGAAATAGAAAATTAATGTAAGTCTGGGGCACAGACGCCAATTTCACAGTAACCTTTCTTATAGCTTTTTTCAATGTGTGATACCTCTGATGTTATTTGTACATATTTTGACAACATTGTACACCTTACATGGACATGTTTAGTCAGGCCTGTGTCCTATATCCTATGCAAGTCTTTTAGTGTGTATCTCCATTTTTGCTTAAGAGACAATGATGTTGTGTTTTAAAGAACGACTTGCTACATAAACCGCACCGATTGTAAATTACTAAATACTTACTCAATTCAGATCTGCAATGTGGTATGTAAGATTTCAAGATTGTACAACAAAAATTCTGTGAATCCCGATAAATTTATTATAAGGGGGAAGAGAGAGTTTGTAAGAATGTATAATGAATGACATAGTTGTTCCACGCCGTGTTTACATACAGAATGAAGCATGTACTATGATGTAACTCAGTCTGTCGGATCCATTAAACAAACCGGATGTAAACATTGTGGCAACACTGGACTTTCATTATCAGTATTTTAAGGTCTGCAAACTCTGTTAATCTCGATGAACTTTATGCCACCTGTTGCACTTTGAACCATGTACAACGTGAAATAGGTGACACAAGTGGGAAGTGGGGTCGTGTGGCGTAGCGGCAGCGTTCTCGACTCGGAACCAGAGGCCCCGGGTTCGAGTCCTGACATGCCACCGATCTTGTGCCCTTGGGAAAGGCACTTCACACGACTTTCCTCACTTAGCTCAGATGTAAATGAGTATTGTATTGTCCCCTGTGTTGGTGGCGGCATTAATATAAGTTGAAAAAACTTGAGTGTGTCGTCATCACGTCTTGTGATTACATGTTTCGGAATAAAAAAAGTGGGAAGTGTACGTTTCGTCATGGATATTTTTAGTAAGCTGAGTCATAATTATACAGTCAATGACTCAGTGCGGGTATCGCCCACTACACAGAGGGGGGGGGGGCAAATTAACGAAGTTAAACACAAAAGTAGACCTGCCCTTGTCTTCTTTGCCTTAATGTTACAAACTCTGGAGTAGAGGAGTGGGCCTCCGCAGGTTCGACAAAGTCCATGCGTTGTACAACCCTTTAAAAACAGTGCCCCTCCACCAGTTGTAATCTAGAGGTACAGTTTAATAGATAATCCATTTGCACTCACTGCCCCCGTGAGCAAAAACAATAGGTACAAGGTACAATCATTTGGTAAGTGTATTGCGCCATCAGAGGCCTTGATCAGACAGGGGTGCTCCATTCCTTCACTCTCAACATCTTTCGAAGCGGATCCATCTTCAGGACACAATAGTCCGCTGATTTCCTATTTTCATTTGTGAACTGAGAAAGGTGAGTTGTAACAGGTGCTGTTGTTACAGCATACCCAACAAGAATGGCGATAGTGGCGCCTGGTTATACTGTACTCGGGTACAAGGTGCGGCGTCGTAGCTTTATAAAGCAGGGACACGTCATCACAAGTTCGAGGCGTTGAAAATTCAATTCTGATATCGTTATTTTCTTTTTATATCAGAAGGTGCACTACAACAACGAATACGTTGTACCTCTTGCGTATTAAACGTTAATGTATGTAATTTACATATTTGTATGCACGGGATATGGTAAGTGTCAGGGCAGTGTTAGGTTTTATTGAGCATCACATCAATTCAACTTTCTGTGCCTTTCACAGAAGACGTCCTTTTTAGACGATGGACGAAGCCACTTCTCTGACGGACGAAACCTCTAGTTTGACAGACGAAACCTCTAGTTTGACAGACGAAGCCACTAGTCTGACGGACGAAGCCACTAGTCTGACGGACGAAGACATTGCTACTCCAGATGCACCCACCGGACTGTGGAGCCGCTTTCTGTCAGCCTGGAACTCCAACCTTGTACAGATGCGTCTGGCGCTGATCTCTCTTCTCTTGTACATGGCTGATGTTATCACAGACATCATGCTGGCAAAACAGTACTACAACAATGGGGATTATTACTGGTTTGGCTGGACAATAGGGTTTGTGATGGGAACATCAGCTGCAATGAACATTATTATAATTAACTAAATATAATTAAATATAATAACATAATGTATTATTAGTGTATGACATTGACCTTCTAGATATCAAACTGTCCCTGAGGACATGGGAGAAGTTCCTGTTGAACTTCACATGTTTTGCTCCGCCTCTGATAAAGTATGTTGAATTTATTAATCTGTTAGATGGTGGCAAAGACGTGAAAGAAAGTTTAAAGAAAAAACTTCATCGATGGCACTTGTTTGAAGCCACATTTGAAAGCCTCCCTCAGCTGTGTCTGCAAATTTACATCATTCACTCCACACATGAGCAGGTCAGTGTCCTGAAGGTCATCACCATGGTGATATCACTGCTGGCAGCAGTCAAGGCTGCTGTCACATATATGTACTATGACAGATGTTCAACTTATAAGGGGAGTAGACTTAAATTGGTCATCTTGTTAACCATTGGGAAGGTGTGTGAACTGAGTCTCCGTGTGCAGGTCATTGGACTGTTTGCTTCTATTTTTAAACAGTGGGTTTTGCTTCCCATTGGGCTACACTGGCTGATTATGGCTTTCTGCATAGTAATAGAAATCCACCAAATACGCTATAAAGATGTCACTGAAGCTTATTTACTCCTGGCCACATGTATATTCATGATAATATTTCCAAAGGACAAGGTTTATAGGCGTGCATTATTACTAAACCTAGCCTTGACATGTCTTTCTAATATAGTCATGTATTCTTTCTCGGTAAATAATGATTTGGACTGGAATGCTGTATTTTGGATTTTGAGCAGTTCTATGAATCAGATCGCTTTATATATGTTTGTCAAGAATGTATAGTTCTAATATATGTTACAAATTCTCAAAATGGAGGCATGTGCAAAACTGGATGAAGGCTTGCAGATGTAATGCTTTAGAATTCTGGTGAATATGATGGAAGTTACATAATGTGTTAAGACTCCTGTCTTGCTTTGAAACTTGTATGTACTGAATTGAAATATTCTGGTGAATGTAATGTTTAGATGTTACAGATATTGTCTCGCTTTGAAACTTGCATGATGTACTGAATTGAAAAAAAAAGTAAAAGAATTGACACAACGCCTGATTTGTCTGACTTATATGGGCGTCTCGATTGTCTGAATCTGACGTCACGTGTGACATAAAGGTGTTGGAATGACCATTTCAAAGCGCCATCTTTCGAAAAATTGACCAACTGCAGGGCCAGGGGATAGAAGATGATTGTGATGATACGGAAGCAGAAAAAAATCGTATCTGGTAACCCTTTGTCGGCTTAGCTATCAATATTTAACATAGCTTTATTTCTTTATTGGTAAAAAAAGGAAAAATTTCGGCTTGCGCTAGAACCACCAAACTAGGTGACTTTTCCTAAAGTTTATTACTCCGTGAAGGAGGTCAGGACCTCCGGACGGAGTGTTGTAATCGGCTGAATTTTCATGTTCGCAGTCAAAACACTGGGTTCTCTTTGTGTAATCGGCACGCAATTTTATACGCCGTCTGCGGGCATGCCCGTGTTGATGCACGAATGTGTATTTTTGCCGTTGCTGCTTTCGCGGTCAATGTAATATCGCAGACGCACCCCTACAATTACGAGGCGAATTGGAATGGTCCAGAAAAACGCGTTGTTTGGAATAGCAGTGGGGTTCAAAAAAGTTCATGCAGATACGGGGTGGTTTTTATAAGTGGTTCCAGATGTGTTTGCCCATGGTTAAGAGATGCCAAGTTTTTTGGAAGATGTTCGCAGCCAAAACGCATTCTTCCGTACGTCACATTTCTGTGTAATTTCGCATGTGGTGTTGCATTATGTCCGGGATGATGCACGTCTTTTTATTTTTACCGTAGCTGTTTTGATATTGGAGTAAATGCTTATTTTCGAAACATCCCCATTTCTTTGAAATGGTTTCGTCCGTTTATGCAACTGTTACTGCGCTAATGACGACCAGTCGCGCTGTCCTGATACACCGCGAATGTGCGAGTGTTCCCTGTAGACAGTCCCGGGAGTCATTTTTTTGCACATTCCAGGAGCCAAACCAAAATACGTTCATGAACCGAGTCCAAAAAACCGAAACGTGAAAATCGGATGATCGGACCTGATGTACATTTCTCTTTCTATAGATTGTACACACAATACACACATCTTTAGATAATCTGGCCATGGCAGGTTAAAAAAAAGGTAACCCTGAATCATACTAGATTAGCGTAAATGCATGTTAATGCGTTCAAAACAAGAAAAAATTGTTTCCGGGTATTAATCTCTTGAATCACGGCGCTGAATATTGACGCAAAAATATTTCGGGCATCGCGCGCCCTTCCCGCGTCACGTGTAGGCATCTCGCATCTCTGATTGGTTGTTGCGTCTTAAGATGACTGAGCCGACGCGCGTTTAAACAATTTTTCTTTGTTCGATTTATCACACTTCACAGAGAATTGTCGCCAATGGCTACTTCTTTTTGTTGCAATATATAATACTTCACGGAGAATTGTCACCTATGGCTTCTTGTTATAGTTGTCAACAATTTCGTATCCATGTAATAAGTTACGTTGCATACAATTACGGTTTTGGCCAATAAAATCACATTATGACCGTCACGTCATATTACGTCATACGATATACACTTCATGACTTTTGAGGGGGGGGCGAATGAAACCCCCCTCCCCCTCCCGTCCCACGAATGCCAAAAAAAAGCCTGGTCTATAGATAGGGTTGAAGACGAGTGAGGCATTGTCACCTGATGTATGTCAAACAATAACAGGCTTGCGTGATGGAAAATTTTAAGTAAGGTATGACTCATGATGATGTCAGAGCGTAATGCCTGGCCACTCCACAGCGCACAAAGGGGTGCCCATCAATGAGAAAGGAAAATTAATCCAGTTCTTGCACCTATTGTGGTCTTTATTGGCCACTCAATGTTAATGAACACCCCTTTACTCTCCGTATTGGTTTAGTCCAAGACATGCAATACAAGCGTGACATCATTGAATTGTGATCACTTTCACAGTTTTCATCTTCTGGACGTCTTGAGAAGAACAGAAGCAGAATCTTCAAAACCTACCGTTGAAGTCTGCGGACACCCCACTAGTAACTTCAGCCCGTGAGAGAACGTAGGTTACCTATTAACGCTCATGCGACTAAATGGACCCCATGGGTATATGTGTATGTGCCAAATTTTTTGATCGGAAACAAACTCTTTTCATGAGTTTGTAAGGAATATATGCCATACAATTTAGCTTTTCGTCGGGATGGCTCATTGCTGTTTATATTGGTGTGTGTGTGGTCCAGTGGGGTTTAAACGGGCCCCCAACAAAAATGTACTTATATTCCTTGTTGTTTCACATTTATCTGACAATCATTGTTTGATAACATACCTTTCTTGTCAGTTTGATCATAGGAACAACTTGCAGTTTTTTAGAAAACTAAAATATGTATTTTTTGAAAGAAAGCTAGTTTTAACTCAAATTGTGGTTTTCATCAATTGTGATTAGATTATAATACTGATCATTACTGTTTACAATTTACTGTGTCAAAATGTCCCTCGTACATTGGTGAAACAATGCATGTACATGAATTACCAAAAGAGTCACCAAAAAAGCTACATCTGTCTGAAACATGAGCAAAATTCGTCGCAAAAATGGTTCAGTTGTAACAATGATGCCCACAGTAATTACAGCCACTGGTTGAAAGGGTTCATAAAATATTCAAAGGGAAATTAGCGCAGTGGTGCATACCTGTTGCAGGGAAATTTGACGACTGTTAGTAGACCCTGTGACCGTTTTTATTATGTGATGACTATGAAACTAGAGATCATGGATGTTTCTTGAAATTTTTGCGTCGTCAAAGTTCCATTATAAAACAAGTGCTTTACAACATGAGCCTGGCGCTTCTATAGTCTCTCCATTCTGTGTATTACTATCTTCAAAGGGAGTCATGCCCAATGACAGTGTTGCATTTTCGTGTGGGCCAAGTAAACACAAATGGACAGGTATAATTGTAATGGTTTGCTGCTGCTTAAAGGCACGTCGGATATCCCTTGGAAAAAAGAATACCCGGTAATACTGAGGTCAATAACCCGTGTAGTTATTTAACCATCGATATTCCACATTTGTGGATGGATTGACTCAACGCAACGTTAAGACAAACCGGAGACGAGACTATCTCTGAAGGTTTACCACGCTACGTACAGTCGTTTATATGACTCATAGTGCATGACGGGAAAACGTCTAGATACCTAGCCTATGTATTGTGTTTGAAAAGACTTGATCAGTTTTCGTGACAGATGCTTTCACTTCATATTTTTTCTGGATTTCAACTACAAGGCGTTATGAATAAAAAATGCTAAAATTGTGTTCAGAAAGTGACCTATAATTGGAGCTTGGAAGGAAAATACATCAACTGTTATGTACGGTCAAGCTCGGAGCATTTGGCGGGTTAAGTATATGTAATGACTGGATTATCAGTTACAATCAGTGCATCATTTACATTTATTTCGGTGAACCAATGAGGTTAAAAAGAGAGGACGAACGGCAGGAACCGCCAATGCATACCATGAGACCGTACTTGCTATACGATTTGAACCTTTTCTTGTTTTAACCATACTCACAGACAAGTGATGAAACTGTTTGTACATTCAACTCAACCTGGTGTGCATTAAAAAATAGGGTTTGTGTAATGAAATCTTTTGACGTTTTTTTTTTTCACTTTTGTCTCTCCACCTCAGAAGGCCATTTGACCATGGACCATCCAGAAACCGATACACCACCTGCAGCCAACCAAATTCCAGAGGTTGCTACTCCACCTGCACGTACGGGACTGTGCAGCCGCTTTCTGTCAGCCTGGAACTCCAACCCGGTGCAGATGCGTCTTGTGCTGATCTCTCTGCTCTTGTACATGGCTGATGTTATCACAGACATCATGCTGGCAAAGCAGTATTATAGCAATGGTGATTATCACTGGTTTGGCTGGACAATAGGGTTCGTAATGGCCCCACCAGCTGTAATGAACATTCTATTATTAGTGTATGACATTGACCTTCTAGATATCAAACTGTCACTGAGGAAGTGGGAGAAGTGCCTGTTGAACTTCTCATGTTTTGCTCTGCCTGTAATGAAGTATGTTGAAATTATTAATCTGTTAGATGGTGGCAAAGAAGTAAAAGAAAGTTTAAAGAAAAACCTCCACCGCTTCCACCTGGTTGAAGTCACGTTGGAAAGCCTCCCTCAGCTGTGTCTGCAAATTTGCATCATTTTCTCCACACATGAGCAGGTCAGTGTCCTGAAGGTCATCACCATGGTGATATCACTGCTGGCAGCAGTCAAGGCTGTGGTCACATATGTGTACTATGACAAATGTTTAACTTATATGGGAGGTACCATTCGAGTCATCGTGTTAACCATTGAGAACTTGTGTGGATTGAGTGTTCGTGTATTGGTCATTGGGGTGTTTTCATCTATTTATAAACAGTGGGTTTTGCTTCCCATGGGACTACACTGGCTGGTGATGGCATTATGCACAGTAAAAAAAATATGCAATGATGACGTCACTGAAGCTTGTCTACACATACATGTAGTCACATGTATATTTGGTTCCTCATTTCCTGAGGAATATGGGTATTTAAATGTAGTGAACACAGCCTTGATAAGTATTTTCAACCTCTTAATGGGAATTTGCTGTATACCTTTCCTTGGGGAAACATCATGGAACCTCACCTTATGGAACACGGCCGTCATAATAGTCTGTACTCTATGTGTGCTCCTCTTGACTGGTTATGCAAACTTGGTGATGTTACTATATATAGAAACAAGAGTTCCACGATCTCATACCTTCGCCAAATGATGTCAACCCTTGCGGGTTATTATACAATTTTAATCACTGATTTTGTAAATAAGAGCCTCAGTTGCATGGATTATATCAGTTGATCATATTCTCCACCCAAAGACAGCCTTATCTTAACAAAAAGGCCTATCATAGCACTTCCTCATAAATTATGCAAATGAGGTCATAATTTGAATAATTTATGTTTATTGATGTTCACCTTCACTTAACTTCCAAATGTGGCAAGTATGAAATTCCCAGCAGTTACAACTATGAAATTATAAAAATATGCTATCAATTATGCAAATTTGGTCCTCATAATTTGAGGACATAATCTATATCCTCAGATGTTTTCTCATGCTCAGGTACATGTCACAAGTGTTTCATAGTTCTACTATCGAACAGATTTATAGGATTTCCTCATTAATTATGCAAATTAGCACATGATTTGCATAATTGTCATCTTATTATGTCAAACATCACTTCAACTACCTACATACCAAAAATCACGACAATACGTTAACCGGTTCTTGAGTTATCCTCCTTCGAAAAATTTTCAACAAATGCTCGTGCAGTTCCAGAACAAGCCGCTAGGGGACCCAAACTCATGTCACTTCTTCCCTATCCCAAGAGCTATCTGCCATACAAAATTCGTGACCCTAGCATTTCCAGATCACGAGATATCAAAACCGGAAGTTCTGCTGCAGTACCTAGGAAAGCCGCCAGGGGGGCCCAAATCTAATCATTTTTAGGTCTCATAAAGACCTACCCACCTACCAAGTTTCATTCCAATCCATCCACTGCTTCTCGAGTTATGTTGCTAAAACACACACACACACACAAACGCTACTGAAAACATAACCTTCTTGGCAAAGGTAATGAATGTATAGTGTTAGCTTCTGTTTCAAATCTCAAAGGAGGCAAGATCAGTGATGACATTGTCCCTGTCTCCAGAGCTAATACTACTGGAAGCTCTCTTAGAAACAAAACCACCTCCATCCCCCAGCCAGAACAAAAAGACCAGAACTCTTTCCTACATCAGTCCATCAGACTGTATAATCAGAACTTGCTATGCCTGGGATATACAGTTCATATCAGTAGTGTGTATATATTCATGTATATATGTAATACTATGTAATTCAATGTTATGTTGTGTTTTTTTAATGTAATGATTGTTAATACCAATGCCATTCAGGCAACACTATTATTCTATAATGTATGTCTGCAATGTTGGTAATAATAATAAAGAATTGAAAAGAATTGAGATATCAGAGTGGATAAAGGCTTTCTGGTGTATTGCTGTAAAATTCTGGTGACTAAAATGTATTTAAGTTACAGATATGTGAAGCCTCCTGTCTTACTTTGAATCCTGTATCGTTACTGAATTAAAAAAGAAAAAATAAAAGACTTGACCCAACATCATGCAAGGTTTTGGGTATACTTTATTCAATATACATCATTTCATAACCGTTAGTCATGCAAAAATCCAACTCAGTCGATTCCTTCATTCTCTGATTTTTTGTCAGGAAACAAATTGAGCGAAACCATTAAAAAACATGATGGTACATCCGACCACCAGAACAACATTTTTCTGTTCAACATTTGTACAGAAATGGACAGATTGAAAGAGTTTGAGATTTAAAAGAAAGCACAAAGCATGAAAGTACAGTTTAAGCCTGCTTGAACTTGTAGGAACCAAACAATATTTGGTAAAATGACAAGCTGACAGCAGAAAAAAGATATTATAACTAAAGCTTCATGGTTAAAACATTACAGCAAAAACACTTTCCATCAAGGTTTCAACTGATTCCAAAAATAAAGGATTGTTGAGAAGGATACATTTGTTTGGAAAAAAAAACACCAAAATGTCCTACGAGACAGGAAGAAGATATTATTACTAAAGCTTCGCAGTTAAAACATTACGGCAAAAACACTTTCCATCTTGGATGCCAAGTCATCTTATCAAAAGTAAAGGATTGTTGAGAAAGTTCCACTTCGTTGGAAGAAAAACAACAAAATAGCAAACTATGTCCCACTAAGGGACTGGAAAAAACTACATTTTTAAGTGATCCCATGGCTTGTAAAAAAGACTTATGTTACAGTCAGGTCAGTACATCATAATCAGATCATGATTAGGAATACTAACAGATTGTCCCGAGTATGTTTGGCAGCAAGTGACGACACTACCAGGGTAGTTACATGTAGAGAGACACAAAGAGAATTTGGAAAATCTAATGAACTACTTGCAATGACTTGCAAATACTGCATTATGCCCCTTTCAGTCCCATTGTAAAGTTTCCCGAATTTCCAAGGTACATGTATCTAAATACACAGTGAGCAGAGTTAACCTTTGATCTGCTGTTTAGACCCATAACTGGTACAAATTTGTTGCTACCTAGTACCTAGGGAAAAATTGTTGTGTTTCATGTATCCCAACCGACACTAGCCTTTTTGGGGGTGAACCCCTCCAAGGAACATAACTTTTTCCAGCTTATCGACCATTTCTAGCTCCATGATCTGACATCTGACTACAATCAGTTTTCCAACATTGACATTAATTTTTTTTCAGGACTGAAACAGGAAACACAGCATTTTTCCCTAGGCCTAACTAGTATAAATTTGGTGGCAAATGGTTACTTGAGCAGGTTGCTATCAGACTTGTACTGCTGACGGTGCGGAGTGGAGTCTGGATCGAGAGTTGCTGTGGCTGCTTCTTCTCCTGTTCACAGGCTTCAGGAGCGAACGCCCAAACTGTACAAACAAATGGCAACAACTTATAATTATTCTAGGAAATCAGAGGTGGCAGACTTCACCCCCTTACCCATACTGCTTTTTGAACCACAGACAGCAGTTCATATGTGGATATATATGGCAATGCTGTATTGTGTATTGTAGGAATTGCACCCACACACAGATACACATGTCTGTCCTTGGTGCTGAACACTATCCACACACACTCACTCACACGTGACACACACACAAAAACACAGACAAGCCAAAAATAAAACTTCATTCTCTTGGGGCTAATAGAGGAGATCAAACTCACCAAAAAACTTAAGCTTACAATGACCTGTTTTGAATCTTTACACCCACAACTTCAATGTTGGAAACATCATAACACAAATAAAAATTTATATTGTCTGATGATTAAACTATCACTAACAATGATGTAGGTACCTTCGGGCTGCCGCTAGTCTCCGGTGACGGCCAGTCATTCTCCTTGTCCAGTTGGTCAGGCGAACCGATCTGTTTCCTGTGGGCAAATTTCCTCCGCAGTGCCTGGGCGATTAGAGCGGCCGGGTCCTGGGCATCAGACTCCTTAGGCTTCTGCCTGATGGGGGTGCCTCCAGGGGACCTGCGAACAAGGCTAAGGGTCAGTATGGTGGTTCCTGGGGACCCGCAAACAAGGCTAAGGGTCAGTATGGGGGTTCTGTGAACCTGCGTAAGGATGTGTATGGGGTTCCTGTGAGCAAATTTCCTCCTCAGTGCCTGGGCGATTAGTGCGGCCGGGTTCTGGGCATCAGACTCTTTAGGCTTCTGCCTGATCGGGGTGCCTCCAGGGGACCTGCGAACAAGGCTAAGGGTCAGTATGGGGGTTCTCAACACACTGGTCCTGGACATCAGACTCCTTTAGTTTCTGCCTGATGGGGGTGCCTCCAGGGGACCTGAACACAAGGCTAAGGGTCACTATGGGGGTTCCTGTAAACAAGGCTAAGGGTCAGCATGGGGGTTCTCAACACACTGGTCCTGGACATCAGACAAGGTTAAGGGAGAACTGGAGAACTTGAAAACACTACACAATGTTGCAGATATTCAAAAGACAATAATATCCTCTCAAAAGTTACTAGTTCGAACACATGGCACTTTGTACAACATCTTTCACTTGTTGCTTGTCTTAAGATTAAGGACTGCACAAACCTGAGCCTACAGAAAACTCACCTCTCCACGGATCGCAGCTTCACATTGCTCATGTCTTTGAGCACTGCCATCATGTTGGGTACAGCAGGACTGGGCATGGCAACAGGTGTGTTCGCAGACCCTGAACGTTTTGACTTGTTCTGGGTATGAAAAGAACAACAATCAATAAGTTAGTATAATCAATCATGAATCTGCATGAATGGAACACTGTTACAGTAATGTACAGTGGGATAAGAATATGGTACAGGGCTCGAAATACCCGGTGGCGCACTGGCGCGGCGCCACCTGATTTTGCTTGGCGCCACTTATTCCTAAACTCAGGTGGCGCAGCGCGCCACCTATAATTTGCGGCAGGGACGTCACTGCTGCGACACCGTGTTGTGCAACTAATTTTTTGCCGACATGCACGTGGTGCAAGTTTGCTTTATCCACTGTTACATAGTACAAGGAAATGAAAATCCAGCCTTCAAATAAAAGAAGTTTACCTTAGTCTCCGTCTCTCTCATTTTGAAACAATATTTTCCCATATTTTTGCTACCGAAAGTCATCTAGAAATCATAAAGAACAAGTTTACGGGCCATTTTTGGTTTGTATCGAGCCGAAAAATCACCGATTTTTACACCACATGGTCACTGTGACGCACGTAAATTTTCACTCGAAATGAGAAATTACTGCCCAACAAAACGGACCATTAGGTTTCCAGTGCTGTATTACTCTTTTGGTCTTGTGATAAACTTGTTTTCTTTGCTTGAATCGTGTAAAATACCAAGGAAAAACATAGAAACTTCGGCAATCGCCGAGCCGAGCCGCCGCCATGTTGATTGTTGCAAAACCACGCGGAAGCTCGCGAGAGTTCGCGCGAGACCTGCAATTTGGCCAAAACCGCTAGAGGGAGCAAATTGAAAATCCTGCGATGTGATTGGTTGGACAGTTTAATATATTAATATATTCGGTTCTGAGGTTTTGGTTTTGGTAGCCCTAGGAGTAGAGGAGAAGTTTGATGATGTATAGAACGGATTAAATAGAATAAAATTGTACAATAAAAATAGGATAAAATAAAAAAAATTATAAAAAAATAAAATAAAAATTTTGTACTGGTTACTTATACATTAGCATTCAGCAATGATCATTTAGCAAAAAATTATTCGGTACTGATACTCTGGTATCCAGAACCAGGTACAGGTCCTGAAATTTTCCGAATTTATTGGTTTCTAGTGTCAGAATATAATGTTGTTTATATGAATGTGCGGTTGGATGCTGTGGGGGCTTTTACAATTGGGAGAATCAGATATTAAGAGCATGCTTTCTTTCTTTCTTACTTTCTTTATTGAGTGTCTTTCAAATTTTTTTTAGTAGGAGTTTATAGACATAATCACATTTTTATTTGTTTCAGCTGTGTCAATATGTGATTTTGTTTGGGAAATATGATTGGGTTAAAAAGTTTGGTTTATATTAATGTCCATAACACCTTAGGAATACTTGCTCCAAGTTCCAGGTAATAGATACATGTACAATTTGTATCATGTATTTTTCACTTGTTGAAGTTGTGGAAGCACCGTTGGCCCCCGGTTAGGGGTCATCCGGGGAACCTATGCCCAATTTTTTTTTAAATCAAGGGAGCTAATACCATTTTTTATTAGATTTTGAAGATTTGTCCGGGGGGTATGTTTATTCCGGGGGGTATGTTTATTTGGCAGATGAGAGTAACATTATCCTTGGGCAAACAAAGAACATGGCGCACATAACACCACCCGCATAAGTGTGCCGCCATGTAGAGGCGTGGCATTCCCACGGCGGCAGCCCTGTGATGAAGACATGTAAAGGTGGCATCCTTTATTAAAACGTTGTTTGAGAGCTTTTGTGTTCTTTACATTACTTTATTTTATAACATAAAACTTAAATAGTTAACTAGAAGAAAATGTAATAGATATAAGTAGCAGATTTGAAGAAAATGATAACTTGGAAGTGTTGCCACTTGAATACTGATGGCGCCACCTGGCTTTTGACTCAGGTGGCAACATGCGCCACCTGGCTGAAAAAAGTATTTCGAGCCCTGGACATGATTTAGACATTGCTGAACAAAGGCCAGTCGGGAGAACATCAAGTACATGTAGACATAGTTACTGAAAAACGACATTGAAATACTAGTAACCCAAGGTGGACATTTTATATCCATAGTCTCTTCACATGTCAGGTAGGGACACCCCTAGGAGACAGTCTTTTGTAAAGCACAATGCGCACTTAT